AAAAATTGTCCTGTTACATACGAGAAAATAGGTTGGTGCAAAGATATCATCGTTTAAAATCATTGTGGCACCTTCTACAACCATGAGAAGCTGGAAAAAAATATTTTTTTCACCTGAAAGATGAAAAATAATATCAACACAAATATGGTGAAGAAGTTGTATTTTATATGCATAGAATTGGAAATGACAAAAGAAAAATGTCACCCAGGATGAATAAAAAGCAAAAGAAAAAGTTATTGTCTATATCACAGCAGTATATCTATGTTGCTAGGTATTGCTATTTAACTCTTCCTCTTTTGCATAACAATTTTGGGGGATTTATGCTGCCAATAATTTGATCCCATGTACAGAAGAGCACATCTTTATTTGCAGGCCACTTCCAATTCTTGAGTGACTTAACCATGGCACTCACGTATGCTCCATCCTCATCCAATTGTTCAATGATGCCTGGGTAGTATTTGTTATCATACTGGACGACTACAAACGAATCAATCTGCTTTGTGATGGGTTTCAGTTGTGCCCAAAAAGTAATCTCAACTTCATACTGTGCACTTTCATTTACCCCTTCCATAGTTTTTTTTCTATATGTCTCCCAGTCATCATCATCTGAGGTTTAACAGCATTTCATCATGGGACAGACTTTTTCCCGCTGGCAAAGAAATTTTCTTCTTCCTCGTAATTTTCGGCTTCATACTGCATGCATCTCGAGTGGACTGTAATTCATCCAAGAAAACGGAACAGACAACTGAAGGCTCTACCTGTTTATGGGCTATTCTGTCGAGTAATGGTTGTACATCACATGGATGAATGCCGCATTTTTTAAATCCATTTTCCAGATTTTTCTTGAAGTTTGGCTCTAGGATATCAAGCACACGCTTAAGTAAAGACGGAAAGCACTGTTTTGGTAAAACAGTACAGTTCATGCCCTCAGGAGTTGCTTTCCACTCAATTAAAACTTTTGTCCACGCCATTTTCATCAGGCGAAAAAAATGCAACGTCCAACGGTTGCGTGAGATGAGTACTGAAAGGCGGCAAGCAGATGAAATGAATATCAGCTTCCTTACACTTCTTAAAAATAGCTACATTGAGGTGAGTTAACAGATTGTCTGCTATGACCACTTTTTTCCCGCCAGTTTCTTCCATCTTGGCAGCAAAAGACATTCGAACCACTCGTTGAATGCAATTCCATCGAACCAACCAGATTTGGTGCTCAGATAGCGACAATGCTTTGGACCTCCTTCCATCCAAGTATGCCATAGTTGACTAGCTTTGTATACAACAAAAGGAGGCAGAAGCTGCCCAGCAGCGTTGCCACACATCACCAGTGAAGTACTAGACTTGGAAAAATTGCAAACTTTTTCCGGATATTTCGTTCCACGACGACATATGACTCGCCTCTTTCCGGGATCGTCAGTTAGATTGGTCTCATCCAAGTTCCATATGTTTTCAGCAGGTACATCCTTCACAACATCTTCCAAGTTAGTAATGTAGTCGCGCACAGTTTTCTCATCAACAGCAGCTCTGCTACGTTGAATATTCGAAGCGAAACGTTCCTTAATCCTGGGATAACGCAATAAGAAATATTTGATCCAGTCTCTCCCAGGAACATTATTTGAAGTACGAGGTAATGACAGCAATGAGATCTTGATGAGTTAGAGGAAAACCGTAGGCACTCATAGCTTCTATATAAGAAAAAAAAGTTTCCTCTTCCTCTCTGCAGAACACTGGCTGCTTACCCGGTAACTTGGTATGTATCTGCTTAAGTTTATAATTTATTGTTCTCCTTGGTATTTTGAAATGTAATGCAGCTTTTCGTTGAGTAAAGGTCCCATTTCTATACTAAGTGACATAAATCCGAAGACTCAGTTTAAATAGTTTTATTTTAATAAAAGTTGGTGAATGTATTTATCTTACTGTAAATAACAAGTGAAAAAATTTTCAGCCTTATCAGTTGGACATTCCGGTTTTTATACTGCTTTTTTTTAATTCACTAACGCTCTAAAAATGAATATTTCAGCCGCAGTAAAGAATCAACGTTGGCGGATTTTGGTTCTTGACATCCTTTACGATCGGTTACGATGCCTAGAGTACGGAGACCCTACGATTTCGACAACTTAGTGAGTTTGATAGGGGTCGTATAGTGGGACTTCGGGAAGCTGGAACTTTCTTTTCGGGCAATTGCAGTTAGAGTGCAAAGAAGTGTAGACACTGTGGTTAGGTGTTGTCAGGCATGGCTTCGAGAAGGCCGTACGCAAAGAGCAAGGGGCACTGGACGCCGCCGTAGAACAACAGACCGTGAAGATCGCCGCCTAAGATTATTGGCCTTAAGGGACCTATTGGCATGCGAAGTGTTTACCGACGAATGAGAAGTCTTGGCTTGTTTTCATACCGGCCACACTGGGTCCTCCCTTTAACTCGAGAACACCGACGTAATCGCCTTGAGTGGTGCAGACAACGGTCACTCTGGGATCAGGAATGGAACAGTATTGTCTTTAGTGACGAGTCTCGATTTTGTTTAGGTATGCACGATGGTCGTGTCAGGGTTAGAAGGCGACGTGGTGAAAGGAGGAATCCACAGTTTTTTGTTGAAAGACATGTTCATCACACTGTTGGAGTTATGGTTTGGGGTGCTATAGCTTATGGTTCCAGGTCACCTTTAATCTTCGTCAGAGGTAACATGAACGCGCAGCGTTATATCCACGAAGTTCTAGAACCCCATCTTTTACTCTATCTTGACACCCTGGCAGATCCAACTTTCCAACAAGATAATGCCCGACCACATGTTGCAAGAGTCACAATAGACTTCTTTCAACATAATGATGTCACATTGTTACCATGACCACCAAGATCTCCCGACTTATCCCCAATTGAGCACGTGTGGGATATGATGGGTAGGAGATTGCTCAATTTGCAACGTCCTCCTCAGACTCTAGAAGCACTTCGAGAGGAGTTGGTGGTTGCCTGGAATGAGATACCACAGGAGAACATTGACCACCTGATCAGAAGCATGCCTAGGCGCGTTAGAGAATGCGTAGCACATCAGGGTGCATCCTCACATTATTAAAGGTCAAAGGGTTTTAAAGCAGTGCAATCATTTTGAAATTTTTATCATTTACTTATTATGCTTCATTAAGTACTTATACAAAATTTTATTAAAATAAAACCATTTAAACTGGGTGTTGGGATTTATATGTCACTTAGTATAATAGCTTCCAAACACTCGTCGAGTTTTTCTTTAGTGTAATCTGCATAGTGACGAGATCCTAACTTTCGCTTGTAGACTCGCACCATCCTGTATCAACACCAAGCAATATTACTTTATGGACATAAAAGTCATATAGAAAAGCAAATTACACAATATAAATGATCATCTTATTTCACTAAAGTACTGGGGCTACTTTGCAAAGTAGCCCCACTATCAAACCAAAAGTAACCTAAAAACCTAAATGGGTGGTGAAACGATAAATATCCAAGTAATTGACGTTTAACTGGTGTAGTTAGAAAAATCGATGGTGTTTCAATGTAAATATACTACTCTTACACTTTTCATGAAGAACACTTTGCAAAGAAGTATGACACGTGTACCAAATGTTACCAAACGAAGATAAAGATGTCGGATAAAATACATAATTTCATACAGGTGGTGACAGGTGGTGCCACATATCGGAAAATACTGAAATTATTTACAAAGCATGCGTGGTTCCTCCACTAGATGGGTATTAGTCTTTTTCCATCTTGGGTGCAAAGTTACCCTCCAAGGTGCAAAGTAACCTCGTTTTACGGTGTATAATTTCTGACTATTTTTATTATTACTTAATAATAGGTGCTTTTTCGTCTACAACGGTGGTATGGAAAGTTTAAAAAAGAAACCTTTCATAATATTAATGGGAAAAATGTTTTTTTTTTAGAAGATATTGTTCAGGTGTTAAATCACTTGAGAAAATCTCTCATTTTTAAACAAATTTGAAATAAAATATATGACCCAGAAAATTTTAATGGTGGAACTATGGCCTTGTAGCTATGATAACTTTCAATTCTCTACACTTTTCTGCAAGTCAAATAAAACATTCATTAACTTATCAGAAATGATAGGAAAAAGCGATGAAAAAAGATCGTATGCAGTTGGACATTATCCAGTGAGTTTATATGGCCATATTTCAATATTATTGTGGTATATGGCTACACAGGATACTTTGTTAAGCATAGGAACTGGATTTAAAGTGTCCCCAACAACAGTTATGAGTATAACTAATAAGGTGCTCTACTTTATGCTTCAACTGAAGTCAGCCTGTTTTCAGTTTTCAAAAAATGAAGCTGAATTACAACGAAAATATATCTATACCTACCTGCCAAAATTCTAACTTGTCACATTTCAAATAATAACCAGAAATATAAAACTACTCCGGAGTTGGGTAAATACCACAACTTTACGGTGATAACTATGACATATAACAGCTGATTGATGACGTCACGGAGCTTATAACAAAACAGATAACCACACTCGCTTGAGCGGATCGGTAAATACCAATCCAAAATGGTAAATACCATTTTCATTTGGTTATTCCCTTGAATTTGATTTATGGTTTTTTACGTAAATAACCCTGCCGGGTGTCAAACTGTTTTAAATGTGATTCTAGAACTTTACGCATACATATGACAAAAAATGTTGCGTGTGCTCAAGACATTGCAAGTCTGGTTGGCGTTATTTGAACTTATAGTGGATGGGCGACTAGCTAAAGAGAAGAACTGTTACATAATATGACATTGAGTGGAAAAATGGCGTCAGGTAAGTTGACTCTAGACTTCCCGCGCAACGCTGTCATCAGTTATTCTGAAAAGGATTATAATCAAATTCAAGCGAATAACCAAATGGAAACGGCATTTACCATTCTGGATTGGTATTTACCGATCCGTTCAAGCGAGCGTGGTTATCATTTTGGTTATAAGATCCGTGACGTCATGAATCAGCTGTTATATGTCATAGTTATCACCGTAAAATTGTGGTATTTACCCAACTCCGGAGCAGTTTTATATTTCTGGTTATTATTTGAAATGTGACAAGTTAGGATTTTGGCGGGTATTGGATATTTTCGTCGTACTTGTGAGGATGTGAGGTTATATGCGCGATTAATGAACAGTTTTGCAGTTCCTTATTAAATTGAAAATAAGATGGAGCAATTTCATCTAACTTTAAATTATGAAGGCGTAGACTACGAGGTCTGCGTTAAAGACCTTGAAACAGCCAATTTACTTTTGAATGGTAACTATATAGTATGATAAGCAAGAAATAGTATATTGTATATCTTGTAGAAAAAGCCTGATATTTCTGGGCTATTTAAATATTAAAGAGGTGGGGTGCAAGGTAAAACTGACCATATTGATTCTAGATACCTACATATTATGTGACTTTTTCTATATGGTATGCACATATTCAATAATAAACTCTGTATCAGAACTGGATGCTGCTGCAGAGCAATATATTTTATCTGTGTCCATTGGGGTCTCAGCATGAGCACAATGAGTCCGAAAATCAACCTCAGAATGATTTTCAATCTATGTGGTCTATGTCCCACAATGAAAATGACTCGACCATTCAACTGTCTATTAATGATATGAAATGGACAAAGAAGAAGCCTTCTGAAATGGATAATGAAGCAACTCATTTAATCTTGTCCTTAAGAGAGGAAAAAAGTACTTACTTTGACGACAAAAGAACTAGAAAACTTAAATTGTGAAATGACGTAGCAAAAGAGTTAGAGGAAAATAATTTCCATCTTGGGAACAAACTTATTTATATTACATGAAACATAAAACTACAACAGGAAGTGAGAGAATTGATGACATTCCTCCATTTTTTGATGAGCTCCATTCTAGGTTAGTTTAATATCTTCTTTTACTTTCACATTACTATCTTAAGCAAGCATGTAGTCTTGTTATTGTATGTCATGACTATATTTTAATTTTTCTTCTGTCATGTTTGTAATTATAAAAATTCTGGTATGAATCATCAAAAAACAAAAATGTGTACCATGAGATTCCATAGTCAAAACAGGTGGAAGTACTTACCAATATAATTTTTGAATGAAAACATAAGGTAAACACATTAAATCTAGAGGATTCAATGGATGAAACATCATTCAGAGGAAACTCAATTGGATCCCTCAACAACAACACCAGTTAGCCGATTTAAAAAAAACTCGAAAGGTAACACCTTCTCGGCATGATGACTTGATAAGAGAAATGGAAAAGGATAGAAAAAATAAGAAGTGAAGAATTTAGTTTTTTGAAAGAACATTTGAAGAAAACAGAACAACAAAAGGACAAGTTCTTAGAAATCGTTGAGGTAGCTTTTGGGACAAAAAAAAGAAGAAAGAGTGACACAAACGATTCTGACACTGACTAGGATTATTATTGATTAATATTTATTTCTTTTTGTGTTTATTTGAGATTTTTAAATTGTGTAATAAATAGTTTCTTGTTCTAATATTTTAGTGTTATACAAGGGAGACATTGCCATTGTGTAGAACTCAATCCATCCATAAAACAAAGGTAATATACCTTTTGTGATAACTAACAAACCTTGTGTGTAGAATAATAATTAAGTTAAAATGAAAGTAGAGATAAATACATTAAAATGCAAACCAATAATTGTGTTTTTTATTCAATCTAAATTGAAAAATGGTACAATAATATTACTCTATGTTATATCTGCATAAGAATAAAGTGTCTGCAATTCTATTTCTTTTCCACTTTGCTTCTATGTTACCCCTATCTTCTAGTTCAGCCTGATTTATATTTCTGTCCAGGTCAATTCAAAAAAATCGTTACTCCAGGTGTCTTTATGCAAAATGCAAAAATTGTGTAAAACACATGCAGCTGTTGCAATCTCCACTGCTTTGCAAATGTTATAGGTATTTATATATTGCACCCTTCTCCACCTACCCTTATATGCCCCAAAATAATGTTCAATTTTTACTCTGTCGGAACTAAGGCAGTAATTGTGAAATTTTTGCTTTCTGGTCACATTGTCGCCTCGGTAAGGAGTAATAAGCCAAGTTCTTAATACAAATGCACTATCACCAATTATGTAATTTTTCGGAGTATCCAAAAAGTAGAAGTTTGGCCCATGTCTCTCAATGTTTTTGCACATAATTGAATTTTTAAAAACCTGAAATTAAAGTATAAAAATATAAAAAAATATTAATGTTTTCCTATAATGTGTTGTATACTAAAATTTAACTGGTGCAAAGCTTTTTTCACTTCCTCTTAAATACTAGTTTGAAGTTTTATTGCAATATAATAAAGATGTAATAAATATTCACTTCAAAATGGGGCGTTTTCTTATTTTTGTTAACACATACCCGTGAGTCACGAGCAGATCCAGGGTATCCTAAAAACACATAGGTGAATAAAGTGTTAGAATCACATATTGCCATGAGATTTATAGATGTTCTTCTATAGCGGTCTATGTAGCTATCTTGTTGACTTTTTTCAACCTTTACAAATATGTGGGTATCATCTACTGCTCCAATAACTCCTGAAAATAATAATAAACTAAAAAGTGGAAACAGATGTAACTTATTAACTGAATACATATGTATATTCCAATAAATACTATTACAGGACAGGTTGTGATGGCATCAATTAGGACCAACCAAAAAAGTTTGAATATAATATACAGTAATTGTACTAAATACCTATTTGTCTCTAAAACATAAATGACTAAGCCTTACATGAGGGGGAAACCACCAAGGAAATATTGACTGGTTTCTGGGAAAATATACTGAGAAAATCTGGGGAAATATAAAGTAACAATAGGGAAGTAATTGTGTGAAATGCAGGGGGCGGTATCACCCTAGGTTTGCAGTTTTCAGAAACGTTTACTTACCTGGATACTTCTTGAAACCTTCACTAATGTCTCTCATTTCAGCTTCATTTTTGGGTAACTTGATGTAGGCTGATTTTAGTTTTAGCATGAAGTAGAGCACCTTATTTGTTATACTCATCACTGTTGTTGGGGACACTTTAAATCTAGTTCCCATGCTTAACAAAGTATCCTGTGTAGCCATATACCACAAGAATATTAAAATATGGCCATATAAACTCACTGGATAGTGACCACCTGTATATGGCTTTGCTAATATCTTTTTTTCGTCGCTTTTTCCTATCATTTCTGCTAAATCAATAAATGTTTGCTTTGACATACGGAAAAGTTTAAAGAACTGGAAGTTCTCATAGCTACAAATCCATGGTTCCACCATTAAAATTTTGGGCGTCATATCCTTTATATTCACGACAAACTTGTGTGAACATAAGAGCGATTTTCTTAAGTGATTCAACACATGAACAATATCTTCTGAGGAAAAAAACATTTCTCCCATTAATATCATGAAAGTTTTCTTTTTAAACTTTCCATATCACTGTTGTAGACGCACTGATTATTAAGTGATAATAAAAATAATCAGAAATTAGGTATAATATACGCGCTTTTCTAAAATAAACAACCTGCAACAAAACCGCGGTTAAAACCAACGCGTTCAAGCGATTCGAGTAACTGACGTCATCAACCCGTGTGTCATCTTAAACCATACTATAACCACGGTACATAACACAGAAATTTTGGTTATTCGCTTGGATTTGATTTATGTTTGGTATAAGTTAGCCCCTCTGAGAAAAAAGTTAGCTTCTAACATATACGAGTATAACAAATCAGCTAAATGGGTCCATACAATTAGTCCATGGTACAGACCCATTTGATAACACTATAAATTTCTTTCCTGTCCTACGAAACCATCGACCATATGATAACGGTGCTAAACCACACCAGTCAACCATGCCATGAGCGCAAACCATGATACTATAGCGCTACCAGACGTACGAGAATTATCGTTTTTGCATGGTAATTTTAAGTACAGTATCTAAACGTACGATGGTTCTATGAATGAGATTTATTTGCTCACAGATGTTAACATCATTCTGAACATGCTCCTCAGGCAAGCGCGTGAACCCTCCCCCTCCCCTCCTACCTCTGACATAGACATTTTCGTTAACATGAATCCTTGGACCACCAGCGCTCGCCTTCTAAACTGGTAAGTACCCCACCACATACAATAATGTTATGGTAATAACATAAAAAATATAGTGACGACTGTAGCAACGCTTCTACAGGGTGTCCCATAAATCGACGTTAAGCCGGAAACAGAGGTTATGGCCTATCCCCCGTTTCCGGGACGTGGCCAGTCAAAATAGTTATCAGAGAAACATAATAAACCTAAGTCGTGCACTTTTCAAATTATAGGCTTTATAAAAAATCGGAAAAATCTACACCCTGTGATGATCGTTTAGTTTCCATTATTACAAAATTCTATTTTTTCTTAGACGAAGTGTCGGACAGTGTCATTCTACGTAGTGACAGCAAGACAGATAGTAACGCCACATTTATTAATTCGATAATGTATTTATTAAATTCACAATATATGTTCAAACTAATAACAAAACAAGTTCAGCCGCTTCCGTTATCCTGTCCCATAGCTCAGATAAATTTTCGATTGGCTTGATTTTACTTTTTCTTTCACCGCTCACGAGTAAAAAAAATCGAGTGGATTTAAGTCAGGTGAACGGACTGTCCATCTACTTGGATATTCTCCAACTGAGCGGGCAGGGATATTATGTAAAAAACCTAAAAAACATCAAAAAAACGACAAAAAGGACATCTTGCAGTCTAGGTAGTTTTTAGTTCATTCCACGTTTGAGCAACAAGATCGCATTTGGATGGTTATGTGTCTCGTATTGGTTTGCATGTGTATAAAATCAGTGATATTTGCTATGTAAGAAAGTATTATTGAATATGCTGCCAATGAAGTATATCTATTAGATTATTAGATGTGCCTGACAGCTTATTTAGATGTTGTCCTTTCTGGAGAGAGGTTGGCCCGAGTAAAGATAACATAGCCACTGTTGAAATATACTCTACTAGGCTCTACAAGATTATCTGTAGCGAACTTTTTCTCTGGAAAGTGGCAAAATCGTTCAGAAACGGAAGGCAAGAACAACTACCACATATTCATGGCCCTGGAGGCATAGTTTCAGGACTGAGGATAAAGTGAAGGTTTTTACTGACGTCATGGAAAGGCAGTTCTCTCCCAATTATGATCTGGACAATGACCTTGACGAGGAACGACAAATTGTAAGATCTGTCAGGAGATACTTCAGAGCGAATGCCGATAAAAGCATCGGTGATTCCTTTTCAGAAGATTCTTCTACGGAAGACTCTTCAGATGAATCTCAGCATAGCACATCAACGGTATCCTCTGAAATTCCGTTTTGCACACCAGCAGAGCTTCAAGGCCACATTAAGGACCTAAAGGTGCGTAAAGCACCTGGAGAGGATCAAATCACCAACAAAGCACTGAAGTTGCTTTTGCTCAAGGCTTTGACTTATCTGGTGGCAATAATCAATGCAATGCTCAGAACTCCTTTCTTTCCTAAGGCGTGGAAGGTCGCTGAAGTCATCATGATCCCCAAGAAGGCAGGTTCGATATTCCCCCAGGATTACCGTCCCATTAGTCTGCTGTCAGCTCCTTCTAAGCTCGCTGAAAAGGTGATTTATCGTCACCTTGGTAATTTCTCGTCAGATCACCATGTGATTCCTGACGTGCAATTCGGTCTGAGCATAATACGGAGCTACAGGCAGTTAGACTGGTGGAGCATTTAACCAGGGGGTTCACCCTGAACAAAAGTACTAGTATCTTCCTTTTAGATGTATCAAAGGCATTTGACAAGGTGTGGCACATGGGCCTCTTGTATAAGCTCATCCAAAAGTGTTTTCCATTTTGACTACTAAAAGTGTTAAAATCTTTTCTAGAAGGAAGGAAGTTCCGGATCAAAATTAACAATGCGTTGACAACAACGCCGGTGTTCCTCAGGGTTCGGTCTTAGGACCACTCCTTTGTTCACTTTATATACATGATGTCCCTTGCCCCAGCAACTGTGCAGTCTATCTCTATGCTGACGACCCTGCATTGCTAGCCCAGTCTTGTTCTGGTAACCTGGTTCACGACAGGATACAGAGTGCGGTGGAGGAAGTATTGGAATGGGCGGATCGGTGGTAGATCAAAATTAATGCTTCGAAAACCCAGGCAATCTATTGTACTAAAAATGTCGCGGTGCCCCCTCAGAGATATCAGTGAATGGAACTCGTATACCATGGGAGCAATCTGACATATATCTTGGAGTTATCATTGACAAGGGGTTGACCTGGTAGAAACATACTGATATTTTGAAAACCAAAATCCAAATTACCTTTCGGCAGCCTTATCCTTTGTTGTGCAGAAATTCAAAATTAAGTTTGATCAACAAGATTCGGTTGTATAAAATGGTCATAAGACCCGCAATCACCTACGCATGCGCCGCTTGATGTTTTCTTGCCAAGACGCACATGCAGAGACTGCAAGTCCTGCAAAACAGAACCCTACGTACAATTACTAACGCCCCTTGGTACGTGTCAAGTGAGACCATTCACAGCGGAATCGCACAGCAACCCTCTGTTGCGTGATTCAGTAGACTACATGTGATCAAAATTAAATTGTAAATTCAAATCAGCCAAAATTATTCCAGTATACAAAACCGATCAAAATTATTTTTTGGAGTTACAAAATAATTCGAGTAGTCAAACCAATAATGCTTAAGCTATTTCAAATTATTTACTTCTTTTCTTTGCTCTATTTCTTCCTTCCTTCCTTTCTTTCCTTCTTTCCCTTTTCCCCTTAAACATGTTTGGTATCTGGGTAGCCAGACCTGACAGACTAACAGATCGACAAGACTTTTAACTAAGAGCAAAGGTCCACCGGACCGCTCTGATGAATAATGACGAATAGTATCTGAAGTAAGGGTATTTGAGACAAGAAATCACGAGAATTGTCAGCAACACGGATTATTAGCTCACAAATCCTCACTATTCACCTATGCACTACCGTTTCCTTCCAGCTATAGTACGCAATTTACAGCTTAGACTTCCAATAATGCCATATCTGAAGCAGATGTTACATCATATTAGACCCAAACATCGATAGGTGATGACGTTTAGGCATCACGTCCAGGTACAAAACCAGTTCACAATAAGTGTACAACAGGGCTGCGTGTAGCGTTCATAAATTGTTACAGAGTGTACTTTTGCGCAAAACCTTGGGAATGACAATGTTATCACCTGTCATTCTCACGATTCACTGTTTATTTACTTTATTTGATTATCTATCAATAACTGCTTAATATTGGCAATACATATTTTCTTCAGGATAAATGGGCTACTTCCTATCCATAGCATTTCTTATAATAAATACAATGGTCACAGAAAACGTGATTAGAAATTGGTGGGCTGTCATCAAGTTTCATCATATGACTCTGTAATAATTTAGGCGTTCTAAAAATGAAGTTAAACAGTATTCCGCACGGGTATGACGTATCTTAAAAAGTGACATTATACCGATTTTTTTGACATTATGCTGTTTTTTTGACATTAAGTAGGTTTTTCTACAAGATATTAACTTAGCACTTAGTTGAACTTGTTGCCTAAACGTCATGAGGCTTATTATCAATCTTTGGCTCTGATGTGATGTAAAATCTGCTTCTGAGATGGCATTACTGGATGCCTAAACTGTAAGTTGTATGTGTTGATGATAATTACATTGGGTTTTTGTCTCAAATACACTTAATTGAGATTCAAAGCTAGAAATTAGTTGCGCATCCACTTTTTCTTATCGATTCTGGAAATTACATATACAAATTTGCTGAATTTCAAAAATGAGAGAGATAAGAAATAATTATATTCACTGTACACTGTCGAATTACAAGCCATAAGTAATTACACACAACGCTGGCGCGGTGATGATTTCCCGTAATTCTCCTCAGTTTTTCGTAATTTATAACTTTGAACATAACCTGTCTTCAGAAAGCACTACATTAAAAGAACCCGTCGGGCGCAGCCAATAGATATATACTTCATTGGCAGCATATTCAGTAATGATTTTCCCACACAGCAAATATCACTGATTTTATACACATGCAGACCAATACACAATCATCCAGATGCGATCTTGCTATTCAACCAACTTTCTTCTCAGAGATAAAAACTACAGACAAGGACCACTCGGTCTCACAAACCATATGCAACCAATAAAGCGTGCAGTTTAGTTGAGTGATTTCTTCATAGATGCACGTTCACAACGATCCTAGTGAGCAAACGTAGAATGACTATTGTTTGCGCCCTAAAAGCTACCTAGTTTGCAAGATGACATCTTATAGGTTTTTTTGACGTTTTATAGGTTTTTTCATGATACCCGTGCCGGTGTCTCTGTAACATTGTTTGAAAAAATACAAAACAACTACCTATTGGAAGACAATTCCGGGGTTGTACAGATACAGTACGTAGTACGGGTGGAGCTCGTTCTTTCGCAGGATTCGGTGGGCACTCCCGTGGTTGCTTCTATTTGAGGTGCCGAATTACTCGGTTTTTCTTCGACTGATTGTCGTATAACGTCCTGGTAAAGAAAGGAAATTCTTTCTTGATTTTGGAATCGCCCCTCTGAGAGTAACAGCCTAGCTGCAGCACTAGCATTGCATCTACATTCCCCATAAATGAGGTGCATGTTAGCGTATTTCTGTACGGTGTACATAGACATGGTGGCTCTACACAATCATGATTTAATAAAAGTGGCGTTACTACCTGTCTTGCTGTGAGTACGTAGAAGCCATTGCATACTCATTGCTTGCAAAATAAAACGTCTGGTGTTCTTACGTTGCTTCATTAATTATTTAGATATGCATGCACGTTATGTGACGTATGTATAGGTTTTATGTTTTATCTTATTATTTGTCTCAAAAAAAAAACGTTATTTCTTCTGACGAATACTACTGAGGAATTATTGTAATACCGAAAATTTTCGAAAATAAGATATGATTTTTTTGGATCTGTGACATTTACATCACGAAAAACCATGCAACTCATTTCAGTCGACCTGTCGTCAGTTTGTCTGACACTCTGTGTGTTCGCTAATCCTTGGCCCATTTATAACTTGGAAATGACAGGCCGGATTTCGATTAAATTTTCACACAAGGTTAGTAGTTTTTCAAAATCGGTCCAGTGGAAGCGGAGAAAGAGTTCAAAATCCAAAAAATACAAATGGCTCAAACTTCGTTCTTGAGGGTCCAAACCATTTTTGAAAAATTTTATAGGGGTAAATAATAGGGGGAGTGGGTTGAAGTAGGGGTATATCTCATATTTTTGATGTTAGTATATTTATCCGCTCCAAACCTCGGAAGTTTACGCACCTCTTAGATATAGTGTACACATCATAAATATTTCCTCGTACATTTGCCCTTAAAACTTGGAATGATAGAAACATGCTTGGTTATCCATCCCTGCTTTTGCTGTTCGCTGTTAGCGCATGCGGAATTTCATGCTACAGCGTATGCAATATAGTGCACAAAACCGTTGCCTTTTTATATCGTGCAACATATCCTAAATTTGTATCGGTGCGTGTTGAATAATTTAACAATGATATTTTGAAGTTTGGAGGTTTGTGTGGTGCGTTTATCATAATAGCGAGAAATAAACAACGTAATAAACGCAAGTGTTGGATACGGGAATTGCTGAAAAAAGCATACCTATTCCTTTATAGAAAAAATGCTGTTAGATGGCGGTTGGTTCTTTCAAAACTTTACTAGGATGTCTTCAACTGATTTTGAAGAACTTTTGTCAATGGTTGGGCCAATTATTAGAAAAACAAATACAAATATGAGAGAAGCTATTCCCGAAAAAGTAAAACTGGCAGTTTGTCTGAGATATTTAGCATCCGGAGATTCATACAGGAGTTTAATGTATACATTTAAAATTTCTGCCTCAACTATTTCACTAATTATACCTGAAGTGTGTAATGCCCTGAATCAAGTTTTGAAAGGATATGTTAAGGTAAGAAGATTAATGTACTTCCAAAGTAGAAAAAATAACTTTATACGGGAAACCCAATATACAAACTACTTTAATATCTAAATAGTCTTTTTTTAAGCAAGATAACAAACTTTACTTAAAAAGTATTAATTATGAAAATTCAAAAATTCTGCCATATCAGGATTCAGTTGTTGAATAACTTGTAGTTGTGCTAGCGCAGAATTCTGGTTGGATTCCGTAGTAATATCATTTGGAAGCATTTCTGAATTTGGGCTCAATATGTTTGACAATTCACACCTAGAATTAGTAGTTGAAGATCCAGTGCAGCTATTACCGAGTTGAGTGTCACTTGAACGAACCATAGTAGGACAGCTTGGCCACTTATTTAGCGTTTCTGAGTTTGGGCTGAGAATTTCTGGTGCAGTCGAGTTTGAGCATTCATAACTATAATTTGCAATGGAAGATCCGGGGCGGCTATTATCTGGTTGCAGAGTATCAATTGACCGCACTATAGTGGGATAGCTTGACTGCTTATTTAAACTTTGCATTTCCGCTTCAAATAAAATTTTATTAATGTTAAACTCGGTTTCAGCTTGTAAACGTGGGTCATTTAAGCTTCTTAATTTGCAAGCAATTACTTCTCCAAAATAGGAAAATCGATCTTGTTTGGTCAATTTTTCCTTTGCCTCTGTCAAAAAATGGTAGGCTTCGTCTACCTGCGCCGATTTTTTTTTGGCGTTTAGTTTTTGATGGAGGTGTTGCAAAATCCAAACCCTGATGAGTTGTACTTGATGAAGTAGTATCGTGTTCAAGTACCTGAAAATGTTTTCTAGTTATAAAAATTAAGTTTTTAAATAAAATATTATAATAACAAAACACATTTTTTTAGGTTCCTTCAACTGAAGATGACTGGCTTGAAATAGCTAAAGATTTTGAAAACCAGTGGAATTTTCCACATTGCATAGGGGCTCTTGACGGGAAGCATGTGCAAATCCAGTGTCCAGCGAATAGTGGTAGTTCTTTCTACAATTACAAAGGAACGTTTAGTATCGTCTTAATGGCATGTAGGATCTCAGGGCCGAATATCAGATGGAGGCGTTTTCCACATTACCTCTTTCTGTAGAGGCTTGGTTAATAACGCATTAAATATACCAAAACCAACACCTCTTTCTAAGGGCAGGCACTTAGAAGTACCTTATGTGATCGTAGCAGATGACGCCTTTCCTTTGACAACCAATGTTATGAAACCATTTTCGGTTAATATACCAGCAGGATCTCCAAGGAGAATATACCATTATAGGCTATCTTGAACCCGGCGCATTGTGGAAAATGCTTTCGGACTTTTATCAGCAGTTTTTCGAATTTTTAGAAAACCGATAGCAGTGAAGCCAGATACTACAGAGGTACTAGTTTTAACTTACACTTACATGCATAACTTTTTAAGAAGAAATGCTGTTGCCAAAAAGAAATATTCTCCACTAGGAACATTCGATTTTGAAAATGTGGATACAGGAGAAATAACACCAGGTATTTGGAGAAGAGATACCACTGGTGATACAGACATAATCAGTTTTAGGAAAATTCCACGTAAAGCCGGAATGATGCGAAGGTAATCAGAGAAGAATTTATGAACTACTTTGTATCAAAAGAAGGCAGTGTTTCGTGGCAAGAAACACTTGCCAAATAGTAGTTTACATTTGTAAACCAGCAATAGTAAATACAGAATTATAATACCGTAATAAAATGTTAACTCTGTTCTAAAATATTCTTATTTCATAGAAAAACCAACTATGTGGTGAACATTTACAGTTGATTGTATTTCAGAATGCCATAGTAAAAACAATAAATAAATACTTTTAATGCATTTCGGTTTTAAAGAACAATTTACCTCTATTTTCCTATTTCCCTCGTTCACACTCGTGTCATCTTGGCTGTCATATTCTGAAAGTTCAGTTTCTGTGCCGCTGCGTTGCGTATCACCATCCAAAATAAATAACATGGAGGTATAAGCGAACCAGCTGCTTTTGTATGCTTCGGAGGTTGCGCCTTAATTTTTTTTCTTAGAAACTTTTGTGTGTTCCTTATGGAAGTATGACCTCAAGCTCTTAATTTTGTTCAAGACTTGCTTTGGTGTAATACTGTATTTTGTACACAATTCCTGAACAGCATCATTTCGTATAATACTGTTTTTGTAATTGGGGTCCTCACATCGCCACAAATAAGTGAAATTTCTATAGGAGTCGATAAACTCAATAGTTTTCTCATTGTTCCATTCCATTTTGACGTAAAAATGCGAAGAGGCAAAAGGCAACGCAAACAAATTCTCAAAAGTCGCGGGAAACACTGGGTCTCTTAGCCTTTTGACGCAAACGACTGGTGCGCTTCGAAGAGTGCATGCAGAGTCGCATGCGTCATAGTTGCGCTACGATGCATGCATCAAGTTGCATGAAAAAAGGCACCGTCTAAACCTAGCTTTAGTAGGTGTTGTGGCCTTGCTGCCGCGTTTTGCGGTCAGGAAAGAATGACTATGTACTAATTGTGTGGGTCTGTTTGACCGACTTGATCTGCTCAACTTCTGTTATACATATTTGTAGCCAACATTTTTCTCAAAGGGTCTAACTTGTGCTGAACATACTACTTTATGAAATATTGACGGCGTTGCGTGAGAAGTCCAGAGTCAACATACTTGACGCCATTTTTGGATACTTTCCATTTAGAACTATTTCGTGGGCAGATTTTTTGTTTTGGCTGTTTCTACATTACATACTAAATAAGAATAGATTATATAAGTTTTATTTGCTGTTAGTTATTCTTACGAGATTTAAAAACTGTTTGTCCTTACCTTTCTATGTAAATGGGTGTGGTTAAGTCTCCCTTCTACAATGGTCAACTCTCCCATGCGTTAGGGACACTTTAAACATAAATATTTTTTAAAAAACCTGTAGTTACAGCTCGGTCACTGAATTAACGGCGATTTCGACATTACATAGTACTAGCTACCAGAAAATGTGATGCATACGTCTTTGAATGGTGAAGTTTTAATGCAACATTACAATTTAATGCTTGTTGAAGTCAAGGGGGTTCAAAACTCTCAGACTTCCCGTACATTATGGATCTCCATGGGTAGCAACGAACAAAGCTTGATATCATCAGGTAATACGGAATGCAAAACTTTTGGTGTCTTGATGCCTTTTCAACAGTAATTAGTCCTAATTGTTGCTAGTTATCTATACTTGTACCAATTTTTGAGATATTTTACTGAAAGTAAATCTACACCGAAGGGTTAAACATCTATGAAGCATTCGATTTTTCACATATTTGTAGCATTTAAAGCCATAATGTAACGCCACCTATTGGAATTAGAATCAATAACCAATCAGAAGCGTCGCGTCCCCACTAATATTATAATTCCTTCTAATATTGTACAAGATAAAGTATGGATGTTTTTTAATCATGCCAAAATGGCTGAACGAATCTGGATGAAATTTGGTACAGAGATAGTTATTATAGTCTGAAACAGCACGTATGTTGTTTTTTTATTCAGGAAAATGACCAAAATGTCTATTTCACGGGTTACAGCCCAAATATGAGATGTCTGGCGCGGAAGCGCTCAGTTGCTGGTTCGACTAAATGAGTAAGACTATATAAATAGAGCATTTGCATGGTGCATTTACTGCATTTCGACATGTTGGCGTAAGCGTCTTGATTTTGATTTATGTGACGTTTTATTGAATACATTGTTATTGAGCTATTTGTCAAATGCTACTAGGCGGGTAAGGTGCGTTTATCTGTTGTCTAACAAACTCTAATGCTGTGTGTTCTGACATCTTCTCTATATTTAAATGCGCTTGTCTGTCACGTCTATCAATAATTCGTACGAACCAAAATACGGAGAGACGCAAACATTTGTACACTTACTAAAAGATACCCGAGGAAAGTTATATAGGCATGTTTCAGTCCTCTAACTCATCGTCGATTTTGTAATGCGAGGCAAGTACCAAAATATCCACTGTTAGAGTGAAGCCGGCCACAATGCGGGCAGCCATCGCCCCACCCAACTGTGACCGTCAAGCAATACAGCGTTGCAGTTTGTACCACTAGTACCACTACTTCGTACGCCTGAAACGACAATTAACACAAAACATTGTTTTTAAGCAACGCTGTGAACTTCCGATCACGTTTTGCAACTTTGATGGAATAAGTAAATTGACGACCAACTTGCATGCTTGGGATATTTGGTTACTTTATTAGTGACACACGTTCCGCGGGGAAAACCGTGGGGCCTCTTATTGATGTCGAAACTTCTTGGTGATGGATGGCACATTTTGCTATCCGATTTCCACAATACTTCCGCACCTATTGCTGTGGGAAGATCAAAATATATCATAAGTATCCAAATGGTAACCTACCAGCTAACAACGAAAATTGTTTCAGTTATTATAATGAGCTGCTCGGTACTGTAACTAAAAATAGATATCCCAGTGTACTTAATTGTAAATTCTTTACATTCTTTCACCATATATATATCGTTTAACAATGATGAAGTCAGCTGATATTCGATATGTTCAGGTTTTTGTCAAAATAATTGTTCTAGTAAGGCTAAGGTCCGTATCGTCAGTCGTCCCTACAATTGTAGGGTTGGCCTCCTTGATTGTCATACTCTTTTCTCTCCTTCAAAAATTTCTAGACACACTTTTCTACACTCGTCCCGTGTCAGCGTCAGCGCTCTTCTATTGTTAAGATATGTTTTCCTTTTAAATGGTAGGAAATTTCAGGCTGATAAAACATGATATAACTCAAAAGCAAGCACATTTTGATGCAAATAGATGTTTGTGGCATAACCTCAAAATAGAGCGTTGACACGGAGAAGTATAAAACTATGACATTAGGTACCTTTACATTTACACTCTTTCCTGCGGGATTGGAACGCCCCGTTCCAATCACGCGAATTCTCGCGCGTCCAAGCGTGGCGCGTCCTAATACGAACTGTCTTAAAAATTACAACTGCTTATCGCACGGTTTGAGTGTGTGTCGTGGAACGGTATAGGATAAAAGTGCAAATGTAAATCAAAAACTGTCATCTTTCGCGAGTGATATTCGTGGCATGTGGAGTCTTGAAATTTTCAACAGTTTTCAAGGCGGTTTTTATCTTCATAATGGATAAAATAATTAAGAAACGGAAAATAAGAGCAGCTTTGTGCTTGGCTGTGTATCTAAATATTCCAAATAAGAGACAAAGAAAGTGTTGGGTGAAAACATGGTTGGAAAATCGCAACAGATATAGACATTTGCCTCTGCTTCATGAGTTGCGTGATAATTATCCCATGGATTTTAGAAACTATTTGAGAATGGATTCTGAATCATTTAGAATTTTGTTGGATTTGGTTTCTCCAATGATTTCTAAACAAGACACAAGATTGCGGGAGAGCATAAGTGCCGAAGAAAGACTAACAACTACTTTGAGATACTTAGCTACAGGTCGTTCGCTTGAAGATTTGAAATTTTCAAGTGGAATATCTGCACCATCTTTATGTAAAATTATACCTGAGACATGTAAAGCTATATATGAAGTATTAAGGAAAACATATTTAAAGGTAAGATTACTTGTTTTATTGAAATAAACTTCTTGTGATAACAAAACTTGAATATAAACTAAAAAATTAATTACTAAAATCCTGACTAGCTTGCTCATAGTAAGCTGTTATACTTGCTGAATCTAAAGCATGTAATTGAGATGTTCTTTCTGGACGATGTAATGAAGAATTTGATGAAGCAACACTATATGGGCTAGGCGGTGAGAAAAGTGGAAGTGGAACTGGTGATTGTTGCATAATTATCGTTGTCTCGGTTAATTGGTTTAATAATCCTTTATTTACAACTTGATTGATAAGCATATCTGCATAAATAGCCTGAGTTGGATTCATCTTTTTAATTTTTTTCGCCCACGAAATTGCGGCTGCATCAAATTCATCAATTTCATTTTTGCTTTCAAGCTGATTCTTGCAGTAATTCATGAAGTCTGTTTGGGTCTTATTTTGTTTAGAAGTCTTACTTCTTTTATTTGAGGCAGGCTTGAAGGCAGTTGGACTTGTTGGACGTGCATGAGATGTTGAAGGCACTTGTGATGAAACACTTGCAGATTTCTAAAAAAAAATATTATTTTAGTTTCCATCTACGCAGCAGGATTGGCTGGAAGTAGCAAATGGATTTGAACAAAAATGGCAATTTATAAACTGTGGAGGAGCTCTGGATGGCAAGCATATTCGTATTGTACCTCCTCCTCATTCAGGAGCACAATACTATAACTATAAAAATTTTTATAGTATCATTTTAATGGCTCTCGTCAATGCTGACTACGAATTTATTTTTGTCGATGTAGGCAAAAATGGAAGATTATCTGATGGAGGAGTAATTGAAAGCACCAAATTTTATCATAAGTTAATTCATGGTAAGTTGTTATACTTGTATATATGTAATTATGAATAATATAATTTTGTGGTTTTAGGCCAGTTACATCTGCCAAATAACACAGACACAGAAAATAATTTCAATTTTGTATTTTTGGGCGATGAAGCATTTTCTTTACATGAAAACTTTTTAAAACCGTATCCTCAAAGAGATCTTTCTTATAGTAAAAGAATTTTTAACTATAGACTATCACGAGCGAGAAATGTTTCGGAAAATGCATTTGGCCTGATAGCGGCAAGGTTTAGAATTCTGCATACACCAATACATATGAAGAACCCGGAAAACATCTGTTACGTTGTACTTGCTATTTGTTCTCTTCACAATTTTCTTAGGAAGCGTGATACTTCTTATACAACATCAACATCATTTGATCAAGAAAATCTGATAACTAAAGAGTTACAGGCGGGTGATTGGAGAAAAAATGCCGTTAATATGACAAAATTAGAAAGTCGTAACAAAAAAGTAGCTACCATAGCTGCGAAAACTAATCGAGATAATTATACAAGTTATTTCAATTCAGATGGAAAAGTTGATTGGCAGGATGAAATGTTGGCCAAAGGAAAAGCTTAATGTATATTTTTGTTTTTAATAAATAAGTACCTAAAAAACTTACTTGTGTATTATTTACTTCTGTTTTCTCTTGAAATTCAACTTCTTCTTCAGTAGAGTGGTTGGAATTTTCTGTTCCTTCATCTTCCATGTTACAAATGCTTTGCGTGGGTATTTCCTGATCAATAGTAAACTGGAGAAAGTCGAAATACCATAATGTGGGAGTATAAATTTCATCTGTACTAGCTCCACTTCGCTTGGATTCCTCTATCTTTTTTAATTCCTTCCGAAAAGAACCACGAAAACTTTGTATTTTCTTCACAACATAATCTCGATTTGCTTCTGGATGTAATTTTGTACAAAACTCGACTAATTTGTCGTAAGCAGCATTTTTCAAATTTCTGTTTGTATATTCTCGGGATTTGATTTTCCATAAGCATGGATAAGATTTATATACGTTATTTCAATAAACTCTGAAACAACTTCTTTCGACCAATATCGTGTATCTGCCATATTATCTACCTAACAATTAAAATAATTGAAACTTTGTATATGTATATATACGTACAATAAAATACTTACCCACGCTAGAACACAATTTACGCACAATTGCCCGCGCGAAAGTAAAATGTAATCAAACGTCTTACCTGCACGAAAATCACTAGCGACGAAAATGCGAGTTTGAACACGTCTAAAAACCGAGCGATTATTTCTCATTTACACTGGCATGCTTTCGCACACGATTGGAACGGGGCGTTCCAGTCCCGCAGGAAAGAGTGTAAATGTAAAGGTACCTAATCGTCAGTCGTCCCTACAATTGTAGGGCGCGTTTATGGCCTCCTTGATTTTGATAATATTACGTCTTCTTCGGTAAGGTACATGTATGTCCTGCTTTACATTTCTAGTCTGCTGTCAATCTGAAGTCAATTGTGATGTTAGGTTATGTTTCTTTTTTGATGAAATTTTTGACAGATGAATCAAGGAAGGATATTTTCTTGCAAATAATGTTGATCATTCAATAATAATTTCCTACATTGAACAAATTCGTCAGGCTGTGGTATCTTCAAGTCCCATATCTGGTTTTAATGATCTAAAATTTAATGCAAATGGATGTATATATATATATAACAGCTTACAACAAAGCTATTCCTTGATGAAGCTGGTAAGTTACAAAATTTTTAAACATTGCATATTCATATTTATATACTTATCGAAATTTTTCCAGATGTGGTTCGTTCTCACAGACTTTATGAGATGTTGGATAAGAAACATTGTATCCGAAGTACAACTGCATTGCTAATGTCGGAGATGGCCGTTCACAAATAATTGTTAGACTTTGGATTGCATGGTGTCAGGCTACAAGTATGTATAATGCGTAAATGCTCTGAAATTGAGTTTAAACATGCCCTGCCCTATCTGTTTTTTTATATTAGTGGGAACTTTAACCTAAAAATTTCAGACTATAACTCTAAAAAATATCATTATAAAATTGTAGCCCACACCAAGGTGTACAATTTTTAATGTTTCTTGAATCTATGCATCTTTTTTGTTTGCAGATATAAACCATCGTGATATTGCATACAAAACTATATCTATTTTGGAAGGATAAAGAGGCGAATGATCTTCCTAAGAATGGATTCGAACATCCAGGCACTTGAAAGCATGTTTGAAGGAGCCAACCTTACTGGAACAAGTGAATTTGCGTTTTGTGACTGACTTGTGTTACACAGTTTTAATAGGTTTTCCCTTTTATGTTAAGATTACAAGTCAATGAACAAATTGGAACTGTACTTAGCTGTCCTCACTTTTTCTTCATATACCACATTCTACAACATTAATATATGGTGCAACAAATTTGATAAACACAACATATTGTTCTTTGAGGCTCAGTGCATTGATCTTCTTGTCCTTGATGATGCCACTGAAGTATGCTCAATAGCTGAAGGTTCCATTATTGATAGGGATTTAAATCCAAAGTTTATACCCAGCAGTTTGAATACAAATCAAATTCTGTACCTCAGAGCCAGGTTAGGTTAAGTTCATTTTTGCCTAAAATGAGTCTTACATGTTAAGTTCATGATAAAATTGGGAGTTTTAATTTGATACTTGCAACATCTATCTACCTGTAATGATGAGTGAATTATGAATGCGATAAAACTATCTTAAAACTACCTATTAGGGCTTAACCCAGTCTGACTTTGAGGTAACTACAATTTTGAACATAATGGGTCTTTTCCGCTTATCTAGTTGTTTGAATTGTTTGGAGTTTGTTTAACAGGAAATTAATTCCCTTGATGAGTCACAATTTTCTTTTATTTTCCCATTCGTAATTAATTATAGAATTGTCATAAGGTTTTTCTGATTTTGCTTCATGCTGCAACTCTATTTTTCTGTTTACTCTCTGTAACACTTCATTTTTGGTAATCCTACATGACCATGGCATTTTGAGCACCCTGAAATAGCGATGGTCAATAATAGTAATTATGATCTTTACATACATACATTATACATACTTGTGCCTGACACTCTACACAATCTAGAGCCCCACAATGATTTGTGAAAAATCATTTCTGACATCGACAATGCAAGAATTGCACTTGCCATACAATGTTTCTTATCCATGGAGGAACCATCTCATAAAGTCTGTGAGAATGAATCACACCTGAAAATAATGCGATAAGTATATAATATCGATATGCAATGATTTGTTTTGTAACTTACCAATCTTCATCAAGAGAATAGCTTGGTTGTAAGCTTCTGGACTGTCATACACACAAATATAATATTATAATATAATATATCCATGTGCATTAATTTTCATAACTCAACAATTTCTTGAAGATACCGCAGGTTGAGGAATTTGTTCAATGTAGCGAGGCATTTTTGAGTGATTGACATTATTTGCAAGAAAATTATAAATTATGGTTCTGCTTTCCATTGAACGTCAAATCAACAACATAACCTCAAGCCAGAACTGTCAGTATGTCGGAAATGTGAAGCAGGACATACATGTACGTTAACGAAGAAGACGTAATATTATCCAAATCAAGGAGGCCATAAACGCGCCCTACAATAATTGTACGGACGACTGACGATACGGGCCTTAAAGTTCGAACAAGTGATTGGTAATCGTTTTATTGTTATGGACTTTTTATGCAAATGAACTTCCGTTTCCTTGAATTAGAAAGTACGCGTGATATCACAATATCATTCCGAGAAAAATGTGCTAGCGCGTAGTGTGAATCCGAAAACCCCCTAAAATTCTCATATTTAGCATAGATTTGTATAACATGTTTCAGATTTTTAAGATTGCTCCCCCTGAAAAACTTTGGCGAATGAATATGGGTCCAAAGATGCCCTCCTACCAAGATACAGGGTGATGAAGTTTTATTCACGCAATTTAAGAAAATGTATACGGAGCGGGTACAGTTACCGAGTTAGGATTTTAGACATTCAGTGAGCACGTCATCAGCAATAAACACGCAGAGTTTCCCGACCCAAACTAAACCAGAGACGTAGACACTGGAGTACCTGGACCACTAATAGGCTATATTTTCTGTCACTGGCCTTTTCTGAGAAAAAAGTGTATTTTGTAAAATACCGTCCAATTTTCCATGAATTTTGCCTTTTAAGGAATTTTTGTCAGGTCACTCGTTTTGGAGATATTTATGTTTGAATATTTGAGGTAAGATCCTACAATATTCTTAGAAAAAGATTTAGCCGCGCCAATTATCAAAACACCCTAAAGCTTAATGTTGGAAACACTATATGGCATGTGAAGAAAGCTATGGCACTTCATTACATCACTAACTAATAATACGCGTGTCTTATCCTCAATCAGTAGCGTAGAAGCTTACCATTCATTAAACCTTGTCTATTCACACCACCGGTTTTCATGGTATACTTCTGTTATTACCCATGCTAGATTCTTCTGTTTATCTAAAATCACAACTAGTGATTGTAGAACCAATCAAATTGAGTACAATTCTTATTATTTTAGTTTTAAAATTATCGGCCTTTTTCTCAAAATTGTGCACTTCTCTTCCCCTAAAAGGCCAGTGGCGTAGTGCTCACAGAACACATAAAATCTTGACTAGGCATCTTTACCCGCTACGTAGATACATTCTTTTCAATTTTGTAAATAAAACTTCAACACCCTGCATCTCGGTAGGATAGCATCTTTCAAATGTACTTTCTACCCTAGAAATATTGGAACATCTTTCAGAAACACCCTGTATAGAATCGTTACTATTGAAATCATGGACATTCCTTAGCCTCCATCCGTTCAACAGTATTCCTTATGAATATAAATCAATAAACTCGCTGAACCTATTCAAGTAAAAATTAAACAACGGATACATAAACTATCCATGATTGCATTGTCGCAAAAATTTTTACACTTACCGATATTTTTAGAAAATAATGATTACAGCCATTACAAATGAATCTATTTGAGTTTCACTAATACTACTACTAATACTAATAATTGAATACTTTTTAATCTGTTCCAAATTTTATATTCTCTCTATTTTATTTAACATTTTAGCACTCTCTTGTTACTTTAAGATATTATGCGACAAGAAACATTCTTCAAGCAGAGACTTTGTTGGCATGGACAAAGGGACAGCAAGTCGAATTGTTTGGAAGGTGACAAGAGCTATTGCAGACATAAAAAATACATATATCGCCTGGGGAAAACAATGCAGAATAAGAGCTAGGTTTGAACGAGGAGACTTCAATGAATATGTTATTGTTGGTGACAGTGGGTATCCAATTAAAAATTACTTGATAACACTTTTGGCTAATCCTGTGACCAAGTCAGAACAGCTTTCCAATGCGTCACAAATCAGAACCAAAAATTGCATTGAGAGAAAATTTGGGCAATGGAAAAGAAGGTTTCCCATACTGACATTTGGAATAAGGTTGAAGGTGAAGAAAGTTGAACATTTCTAAACTCCTGAATGAGGTACAAGCTCCTGAAATAATGATGAGGAATAAGCAGCAATAAACTTAACTGGCAATGTAATTACTCAGCCTTACATGAACAATTAAAATATGCATAATATTTTGAGAAATCAATTAATACCAAGAGACCAAAACTGAAAAAAAAACAAATTAAAATAAACAAATAACTTAAAATTACTGTTTAGTATGTTTTTGTTGTTCTTGACTTGCAAAAGATGAATTATTTGAAGTTACGCATTATGTAAACTTTCAAAATTTAAGTTGAACTCTGCTAACAGTTGTAGATTTGTAGATAAAGTTCAAATATTTTATTATTTGTAGTTTTATAACCAAAATAAGGATTGGAAGAATCATAAAATAAAAAGTTATATCAAAATAAATACTTGTTTTATTACATCAAGCAAATAGATCTGATACTCTACAATAACTTAAGCAAAGTATTATGTATAATGTAATAAAGAATTTATTGGTTCAGAAATATTATCCATCAAAATCTAATAAGCTTGTTTATCATTTTTTGTAGCAGAACATATTTTTCTAGTAATAAAATTTCTCTTTTTGGTTTATTGAACTCGATTATTCAATTCTTCAACTTCAACTGTTACTTCTTCCTCTTGTTCTATTTTTTAATTTGTCCCTCTGATTCTTTTTTGAGGAGTTCACATTCCGTAACACACTTTTGTTGCATAAATTGAATTTTTCTTTTATGCTCCTTTCCTAATGGCTTGTATAATTCACCCGTGGCAAGGAATCTCAGCTTTAGTTCTAACCTGAAATAAGATGATACTTGTGTCATCTGGATTGTTTTCTAGTAACCTAATTCTAGCTGAGTAAAAATAAGTACTCAAAAGTTACATTGAATAAGTCAACTAGACTACATATGCATATATATTATTATAATCATAGACGGAAATACCTCTGGTTTGGGAAATAATTGTAGTCTGGTTTTATTGATGCCAGTTGTTCAAGGGAGACAACAATAAAGAATGAGAAAACGAGTTTCTTGGGATTCAATCGAAAGTATTGGCAAGAACCAAAAACCTCTTCAAATAAGATATTTAGGTATTTATTTATGAGACCTAAAGAATGAGATCACACGTCAAAAGATCCGACTAATTGTAAAAAAGTTATGGCCCAAAACCAAGACAAAATGCAGGTTTTGACACTTGTTGCTAATACGGCGATAATTTCACGCAGCTTCTTGAAATTCTTAAGATCCGTAGGCTTTATACTTCTAAGTAAGCATAATAAATTGGAGTCGATTGGTCAAGTAGTCTTTGAACAATTCACAGGGTTTGTTCAAAGGACATTTTATAGCAAAATATACGAGTTTACCTTGCCGACATAAATCACAAACCATTCCGAAAGATAAATGTTGTTTTTATGCGCAAAGCGAAGGGTTACGCATTTTTCTTTCAAACAAATTCAAACATTTCCTATTTGTGAGTAATTGAACAGATTCGCTACGATATTCGAAAAACATACGTTATTATGGACATTTTAAAACAAAGCGGATGTGTCCATCACCTTTTGTTGCGAAGATTTATTCATACTCTTGTGTATGCATATTTAGAGCTTTACACGGTCACAGATGAGCTCTTAAGTTTATAAAAAAATATTTCATACTGAAATGCGCTGAACTGTTTATAAAGTTAGCACGCAAACTGAAGACACAATTATACTTCAAACTATCTTAGACTAGTTAGTATGTAGCATGTGCTAAATGGCTGCATTATTCATGACTGCATGACTTTGCCAAATAAGTAGGTCACGTAATCCAGTGTCTTTACGAAGAAATATAATTCCCTGGGACTTTTATCTAAAAGTATTAATATAGTGTTGGTTTGTTTTCGAAATCTCGTACGATTAAAACGAGTTCAAAATACTGAGAAATAAACTCGAGAAAACTAAAAAACAGTAGACAAATATCAACCAATTGTAGCGAAATGACCGTCTGACAAATTAGGCAAAATTTTTAAAGTTTCAGCATTGTATCTCGTATAATTTTCAAGAGTATTCTAATTATTTATAAAAGATTTGATATGCCTCCAACGTTCGCTTGACATTTGTCAGTGTCAAGTATAGTGGTATAAAGATCCAGTAAACCAAGAGGCGTCGTAGTGCAATGGGAAAGAGCGGCGATTGCTGAACCGCAGGATGGAGGTTAAAATCCACAAAGCTCCTTGTTTTTGCCATTATTTTTTTTGTAAATTTGGAGAAATATATGCTATAATAAGAAGTATTAATGTAACTAGTGCATGAGAAAAAATATGAAATTCATACTGTGATTGTCAGAGGTGAGCTTTAATTGAATAGATTGTGGATATATTCAACACTTTTTATTTCTCCCAAATCATACAATATAAAAGAAGTTGAAATCATGCTATACTTTTCTAAATCTCAATCACTAAAAACTAAAAAAAAAGGAATATGATAAATGTAACCCATTCACGCAACACAGATTAGGTGTACATTAATTTAGGCAGACTTTATTATTTTTTCAATAATGCCCAAATTGTTAATGGTTCTGAGAGAGAGAGACTTATCGCTAAAATGTCTTTATTCACCTTTCGCTAGTGGCAGCTTGTTTAATGCACTGCAAGTTAATTATCTCAAGTTAGTGGTTAACACAATGTGCAGATAATACATTATGGTTGCTATCGTTAAAAAATACAAAATGTCAACGAATATTTCATATAGTTTCATTCTATGCACAACAATACGTACATATTTTAGACGCAAAAAATAATTATGTCACACTCTAAGATATAATAATTGAAACTGCTTAATTTCCGATTTTTCGTATATTTAACTTTCACGTTGGTTAGGGCTTCCTCTTTTCCATCACTCCCGAAATGAGCGATTATCTTTGTGTTATGCTGCCATAATACAAAAATACAAACTATGCAAAAAATGTCTATGCTGTTGATGAAATGAGCATCTACGCTTAACAGTAATTTGATAAATACAAAAACTGTGGGTTAGTTCACTTAATTTTATAAGCATCATCTGCGGCTCAAGAGGTACCTAATTTGTCGACGTATCAAAAACTTGAGCGTATTATCACAAGCAAAATTTAGGATGTCTTTCATTATTGTTGGTTAATAATTTACACATCTAAGATAATATGTTTTCAAAAATTATCTTGTATGATCCGACATGGTGTTACTGAAATTTCATCTAAGTAATATAAAAAAAATATATAAACACTCATACGTATACTGCTGGTTTCCTGTTTGCAAGCTTACATTCTCTATGGCGTGCGAAAAACTGTTTGATCGCAATAAAAATACACATAATGTGAAAAAACATTTATTTCTCCAAATTTTAAAAAATCAATAGCAGAAAAAATGAGCTTTGTGGATTTGAACCTCTGTCTTGAGGCTCTTTCCCATTACACTACGATCCCTCTTGGTTTACTCAATCTTTATGCCTCTATACTTGACACTGACAAATGTCAAGCGAATCAAATGTGTTATAAACAATTAGAATACTCTTAAAACTACATACAAGATACAATGCTGAAACTTTGAATAATGTATTAGGGACTAATACCGAGCATTTTGCCCAATTTTTCAGACGGCCAGCTCGCTACAATTGGTTGATATTTGTCTACTGTTTGTTTTCTCGAGTTTATTTTCGAATATTTTGAACTCGCAGTCGTTTTAATCGTACGAGATTTCGAAGACGTATACTATATTAATAGAAAAAAGGTCCAGGGAATTATATTTCTTCGTAAAGAAACTGGATTACGTGACCTACTTATTTGACAAAGTCATGCAGTCATCAATAATGCAGCCATTTAGCACATGCCATATACTAACTAGTCTTAAAGCTACTACACACAAGCGGGCGGCAATGCCGCCGGGTTTATGCCGAGCGGCTATGCCGTCGGCAATACAAGCCGCGCAAAGCCGCCGAGCATCATTCCGCTTGTGACAGTCACATAGAACGCTAGTGAAGTGCATATTTTATGGTTGGTTGGTTAAAATGAATAAGGAAATCATCAGCACAGCCGCCGCAGTTGTAATTTTTATTTTAATAAGAAAAAAATACAAAAGGACGAGAAGGTTACAAAATAGAAAATGGCGAAACGGTACTGTAATGATAAGAGTATAAAAAAAATGATGTGGGGTGTCAGCGTTTGCGCAATAGCATGTTTTTTGGATTTCTGTACATCGTCTATGCCCGCACCAGATTTGTGCAACTGTTCGAACTTCTTTTTTTCCCGAAAATAATGAGAGGTTACATTTTTTAACTTTCCCTCTACTTCGCCTTTATCAATGTCAAATACACTTGCAATTATGTTCAGTGCGTCGGTTGTTCCTATTCTTATAGTCTGCATTTCTGGGATTCCATAATATATCATTTTCATGAAATTTTTCAATTAAGAGCAGCACAGCTTCGTCGTCCCAATTAAACGACATTTTAATTTGTTTCAACACACAAACCGCACAACACTACCGCTCGAATGCCAGGAACGAAGTGACGCCGGCAAGCCGCGTAACCCGCCGGCACACCCCGGCGGCTCCTTTGCGCGGCAAGGCCGGCGGCTTTGTATGCCGCCGGGTGTACGGAGGCACTGTGTGTAGCAGCCTTAAGAAAGTTTGAAACATAATTGTCTTTTGTCTTAACTTTATAAACAGTTCAGCGCATTTCAGTATGATTTTTTGTTTGATAAACTCTATAGCGCTCATCTGTGATCGTGTAAAAACTTCAGCTCTAAATATGTATACACAAGAGTATGAAGAAATATTGTAAAAAATGTTTTGTTCGCAACAAAAAGTGATGGATTGTTTTAAAATGTGTATAATAATAAGTATGTTTTTCGAATATCGTAGCGAATTTGTTCAATTACTCACAAATATGAAATGTTTGAATTTGTTTAGAAGCGAAAAACGTAACCCTTCGTTTTTCGCATAAAAACAGCAATTATCTTTCGGAATGGTTTTTAATTTAATCGGCTAGGTAAACTCGTATATGTATTTTGCTATACAATACCCTTTGAACGAACCCTGTATATTGCTCAGTAAACTAGTAGCGATGGCCGGAAGTCATGTGTTTTGGGATAAACAATTAGAAATTCTCAAAGACTAGATTACCAATCGACTCCAATTTTGTTGTGGTTACTTAGAAGTATAAAGCCTACGGATTTGAAGAATTTCAAGTAGCTGCGTGAAATTATCGTCGCATTAGCAGCAAGTGCCAAAACTTGGATTTTGCATCGGTTTTCGGCCATAACTTTTTTACTATTACTGCGATCTTTCGAATTATTATAAACAGAAAATAATAAGTGCAGGAAGGAGGCATGACGGGTTCTCCTCTTCGTCCTATGTCAACGCGGGTGTTCCCCAGGGATCAGTCTTGTCTCCGACACTGTTCCTCTTACATATCATAACGACCTCCGTTGCTGCACGATAAACCCAATCCACAGTTTCGCTGATGACAGCACTCTACATGCAGGATTTCAGAGTGACAAGCCGATCTCTGTCGGTGATCCGAAAAATAGAAGACTCTAGCAGCGACTTCCTCTCTGACGAGAGACCTGGGGGTTATCACTGCTTGGGGACGCAACAATCTTGTACAGTTTAATGCTTTCAAAACACAGTACTGTACCTTGATGAACAAAAAGCGCTCATTCGGTTTCGATGGATGGCCGAGCTCTGCCAAAGAGCCGATCATTTCGCCTGGTCGGAGTCCAGATCACCGAGGGCTTGATCTGGCACGAACATACCTCGTCAATAGCGGCAGCTAGAGCTAGGAAGTACTTTTCTACGCATGAAATCCTCATTTTATAGAAGTCCCAGATAAGGCCTAACCTCCAGTATTGCTCACATGGGGGTGGTTCCGCCCCGACTAAATAATTATTTATGCTCGAACGCCGTCCAACTGATCTCTAACAGACAGCCTAGAGACCCTTTCGCACCGGCGGGTCGTCGGCGATGTAGCTCTCTTCTACTTCTACACCAACGGGCCTTGCTCCTCAAAACTCTCCTCCATGATAGCCGCCGCGCGATGTGCCTGCCAGACAGACCCGCCTGACTTCGGCCTCCCATCCTAACCATGTCGAACTTCGTACATCCATAACTGGCCGATACGACCGCTCATTTGCCCCGAGGATGTCAAGATTGTGGAACAATCTACAAGAGGAGGCTTTTCCCAGTTCTACTAACCCTAGGCAGTTCAAAAATTGGATTAACAACATTTCTCGGGGATCCTCAAAGTTGCCGTGGTGTCCTGGCATTTAGGCTTCTGCATGCGCGGCTGCTGTGGTGTAAAAAAAACCACCTATAAATCCTGATGTACTAAACAATTATTACTGCACAATGGCAGAAAAACTAACAATTATACAAAATATTGATCGGTTAACAAATCTAAACCATATAAATATAGATCAGAAATTTTTACTTTATCCGACGAACATTTGTAAACTACAATTACTATTAAGACCTATCAAAATAAATAATCATCAGGCATCGATGACATTTCCTTAACTGTTACAGTTCTTCTTTCATTGTATGCTTTTGATATGCTCACCAAACACAAAGAATTTTCAAAAAACATCAATAAGGAAGACCAAGAGATTTACCAGAAAATTATAGAGCCATAGGTTTAACCACTGTTATAGCAAAGATAATAGAAAAAATAATTCAAATCAAATTAAGCCTCTTTCCGAAAACCTAAAAAAAATTATAAGAGACAACCAATTTGGATTTCACAAACCATGGATGCTATTTTAAACTTACTCGGTTATACTCATCTTTAACAATAAACAAATTTTATTAGATCTTTTTTGCGATTTGTCCAAAGCTTTTGTAAATCCTATTATAAGAATTAAACAAATATGGTTTTGCTGGAACTTTACTCAATTGGTTTAAAACATATTTAAATAATGGGTGCCAAATTGTGAAACTATCAAGTTATTATGTTTCACAGAAATATCAACACAGGAGTACCTCAACGATCAGTATTAGATCCGATTCTATTCTTAATCTATATCAATGGTCTAATAAACTTAAACATAGATAAATAGTAAATTCGTAGTTTTTGCAGACTACATTTATGATATTTAAGTACTCCGTTAGTTTTATAGAGTTAATGAATTGATACACCATCACACTTTTGGGACTGATCATCATTGGTCAAAATTAGATTTTACTAATCGTGTAAATGAATTGCTCACTTACTAGCAAATATCTCCTTTATTAATTTATTATAAGAACAATCAGTTACAACGCAGGGAAAAGCACAGCCATAAGCAGTTACCTTGCCTTATTTGAAAGTAGATTGTGTGTGCCTGTTCCGAAAATTAGAAAAGTGCTTATTCTACAAAAATGAACTATCCCAGAAGTCGACGCCAAGCCGAAACCGCCGAAGTCATAATAGTTATTAGAAATCTTGGGTACATGTTTTAAAAATTATAGGTATTTTTGAAACAACTAGAAATTTCACACCCTACGGCAGTCTGTTAACTCCTGTTAATACAAATATTAATCTTGTTTGGATTTTATTTTTACAGTGTAATGATGAATATGCATCTTTAAACTGGCGTCACAACTTTACTGCCAACTTTTCTAGTTCAGAGCAAATTGCCACTATTTCCAACAAAGTACTCCATATTAAAACTTTGCTGAGAGAGTATGACACGTAACCTTAAAAGTTGGCGCATAAAGTCTCTGGGAGCTCAAAAGGACCGACTATTTTACAATTTGAAATTCCTGTGGTTTCTCTTTTAGGGATATTGTGATTTATCTTCCTTCATCAAATTTGGGTCCATAAAGATTTTTTAATATTGGGCTTCTTTTTTGGTTGAAGGTGAGTTTCTAAGCCTATAGGTATGATTCTTTTTAATAAATATCATACAGGGAATGACTGAAATGCTTAGTCAAATGTTGTAATAATCAAACTGTTACGGTGTTTGCCGGAAATACGGGGACTGACTAGGCATTTCAGGGAATGACGGATTTCAGCGTTTGACGCCGACACGTAAACTGCTACTTGATGCTCCTGAAAACAAATTTTGCATATATTATATATACATACATCAATAAATAATAAAAATAATTGAATATAAGTTTTAAAAATCAAAATTTGTGCAATAGAAGTAGCTATCATATTAGTGGGTAAGATATTTAACAGAAAATAACTATTATTTAGAATAATACAATACAGCTATATAAATATTTGTAATAGTTTATTTTTCAGAAACCGACAAATCTCTTTTTGTCCGTTTTCTTGGTAATTGGTCTCGTCTAATAAGGCACTCATGTCGAAATACCATTTAAAAGTTGTGTCACAAAAATAAATGGACCACACAAAAAAAATTCAACCGCACATCACAGACCTTCGGAAAGAATTAAAGTGCTATTGTGAACTTGGCATCAGCTTATCTACCGAAAACGGACCAACTCGTAGTTTTAAAAATAAATCTAAATTTGAAACATTACATATGTCACAATGTCAGACGAAAACAATTTACAAACAACAACAAATTAATAATGCCTAAGGCAACACTTGTGAAAAACTCAATAATTTATATGTCTCCCTGATGCTAACAAAATAATTAACGATTTTAAGATGTTCCGCTGTGAGCTTAAACACCTTTTAATATGTAATCCATATTACACCATGTGTGAGTTGTTCACTTTACCTACCTACTTACTTACTTATGTAATTGTTATAGTTTCGTTTTAAAGTAAGCTTTGTCATTAAGGATGATTGTGTCCATCAGATAATATAGCATATCTATACCAGTACATAATATCTATTTAATCCTGTCGCTACCAATGCAGTGTGAGAGGAGAAATATAAAAGAATTCGCTCTTAAGCTTCCATAATAATTTTATTTATCAGTCCTGCTATGAAAATCGAAACTAAATACACACATAAATACTGCAATGAAATTAAATTACAGAATAATACCTATGTATCTTACTTATAGAATCTCAGAAAATATTGAGAAAAACTGATTAAAAATGTTGGTAGTTATCCTTATCTATGGAAAGTTTCATTCAGTATGCAACCACCATTATTAACGAAAAATATTTCCCATATAATGACTAACATCATTCAATTTTGATAGTAAACGACTTGAGGGGTCATTCAAAAACCAATAAAAAATGCACGAACCAGCAATAAAATCGTAACAGATAATCGTTATAATTATGATTGTCGCACACATATATTGCTTTATTTGATGAACCGGAATATTATTGGTCAACTATAACTCCAGAAAACTTCCGCGCAACCAGAATGAAACTTTGCACCACAAAAGAACAGTCACTATATTAAAATTAGAAAAACATGAAAGTTATTCTTATGCCCCATCAATATATTATGCATATGAAAAAGTTGAGATTGTCTCATGAAAGCTTCAAATACCTGTATGAAGCCCGGAGTCCCTGTTTGCCGGTCAAATTATGAGTTTTTTTAATACTTTAGAACTTCTTCAAGTTTATAATGCTAGCGGGAATGCACACATTCGATATCTCTGACACTGAATTGATACATGTATGTTTACTTAGACTGTGAGCAATTCTAAATATGGTTATATTTTGACTAGCAAGGTACGGTAATGTCTAAGTAAATGATATAAAAATGGCTAGAGTTTTGGAAATACAGGAATCTATTTAGAGCGGAGTATTTCTTAAATCTGATAGTAATATGGATTCCACTTTTTATCGAATAGGGCATAATAACGAGCACATGAGAACGCTGAAGAACATGCTCAAACTACAAAGAAAAAAATTATGTATACATATACTTTAACGCTATATACCGTATATACAAGTGTGATACGCAACCACTTTAGGCACTATAAGAATTTTTTTACTCCCCCTGCAGCGGCTTTCATGTGACGCAACTGTGCGGGGTTTACTTTGATTTTCAGCTGTTGGATGAGATCGAAAATCTTGAGTGAAGGTCCCACCTTACCTCCAGTGAGCTCCAAGATGTCTTCTTTGCTTAGCAACAGCAAAGCCTTGCCGTCCACCTTCAACAGATAGTTTTTAAGATTATGTTAGTTTCGATAAAGGCTATTGAAAAATGTAGGTTGACTCGGTGCTTGCAATTCAAAAAATTGTAGAATTAATTATAGTTTGGAATCATAGAGCAACCTAATAGTTTCCTACAATCGGTTTAGTCCGGCGCCGGTCTTAAATTACGTTATTAAGTTATTGGATGAAAATGACTCAAAATCAACTAAAAATAATCAGTAATTACATATCAACCAATTGAATCGTTGGAGCTATGCACTAAAATAAGCAGCATAATATTATGGCAAAGTATCAAAGTTTATAGAGAATGTGATAGAGGTATACTGAGCGTCTAGCCTCGCAGCGGACCATATCAGTTTAGTACACATCATATCATTAATCTGTTTGTATAAATTTATTTAACGGTCCATGCTATCAAGAAACTCCTTGTTGGAACTAAGACAGTATCTCACCAAAAGTAACCGCCACTAGACTTCAACCCGGTTTCGCCTAGTTTTGAGTGTCTCAAAAAATCACCAAATAAGAACTTACTGGATAGAATGTGGAACACGAGGCCTGAACATTAAGTGATGAGACTGGCAATGTAGCGTTTGATCTGGCAACACTGTAGGCGCCGAGTTTGGAGGGGAGATAGGGGATATGTGATCCGGCTTCAGCACAAGTTTAAACTCGCTCGAGTCATTTGGTTAACCGTAACGATTTTTTTTGTGAAACCGTTTCTAAGTGAAAAGCTCCTCCTGTAGATTGTTACACGATTTCGACACCCTCGGGACAAAGGAGCGGTCTTATCGACCAGTTCTGGATGTACGAAGTTCGACACGCTTACGATGGAAGGCCGAAGACAGGTAGGCGATACCATGGAAGAGAGCTCTGAGGAGCAAAGCCCGTCGGCGTAGCTAGATCGCCAATGGCCCGTTGGTACGAAGGTGTCCTCAGACTGTCCATTAGAGAAAAGTTCATTAAATGCCTCTTGCGAAGCAATTTTAGCCCTCAAGATAATTCCGACACACTCTGATACATGTCACTGTCACTGGTTGAGTGGTCCTCTGATCTGTCAGAAGGTTCTGTACGAACAGCGGATTAGCTGTCGGCAAACAGTCAGAAACTGTATGAACAGGTAACATCTCTCTGATTCTGATTTTGACAGTCACCGACAAGTTACCGACTACTGTGCGAACAAACATAAAGTCAGACCTAAAAGTTTATATTCAAATATATTTATTTGTATTTTTCACTTACCTTTTTACTGAAAGAATCACAATAACTGGCACAATCGTTAACCCTGAGAAACTGAGCAACATCAAACACATTCCAACTGTCAGGGCACAGTTCTCCAGTTTCTATGGATCCTCCCGAGTTGTCTATAAGTCGTGGAATCAATTTGGTAGGACTAGCTGTGGTTCCCTGAGAAAACAAACTGTTTAAGAATTCTGTTCCAAAAAAATATGTTTTTATCTTTGATATAATAATAATATTAATTAACGTCTTTTATTTGTAATATTCTTACAGGACGCGAGATTTAGATTATATATCTATTCTACCATCTAACCCCCTGATATGTGAAATTTTGGTAACTGAATTAGAAATGACTTTTTCTGAATCTTTGTAACATTCATAAAAATTATGAATATAATCACAAATAGGGTAAACAGTACTTTATAATAGTATATAGGTCAGAAAAATTAGGCAGAATGCTTTTCCAATTTCGTATTGACTTTTTTTACACTATAGAGAAAAGCGGTGTGGAGAAGTCCACAAAACAGTTCTGCATCTCAGAGCCAGACTACTTTAAGCCAACAAAGTTCATTTTTGAGTAGAGACGATTATAGAATCCATATTCCATCAACAGAAATTTGACGATTGTGCCAACCCTAGGTAAATAAGGCTATATAATTTTTTGTCATGTTTGTGTCTAATAAGGCTTTGACAAAAAAAATAAAGTTCGAATTTATCACATATCGTAAGTCCTGTTTCATGGACATACAATATTTAACGCTGATTTAAAAGTGTCAAAAGTGTCAGATAAGTCCGTAAAAAAGAGGCAAGGTTCATAACACACGTTAATCCAAAAAACGTATATTCAACATAGCAATATAAATTATTAGTGAAAGTGAACAATTTTACAGAGTTTCCATCTAGAAAACATACAACTCAAACTAAGTCAGATAAAAAACATAATTCAAATTAAGTCAGCTCACTCCACGTAGTTATTATAGGAAAAAATATTTATAGGCAAAGTTAGGCTAATCACAGTCTATTGTATTTATGTGGTTTAAACCGTTAAAAAGCTGATGGAACCTTCCAGGAACCCAAATAAGTAGATTTTGTAGACGGCTATACTTCTTCTCAGATATTGGCTTAGGGCAATCCCTAATGCATTCTAGGTTCAAAGGGTAGCCCGCTTTACGTCGCGTCGTTCTGATGAAATCAACTTCAAAATGCCAGGATTTCCTCTTCACATGTGCATATGACTTAACTGGGAAATGACAAAATCTTCCCCCACTGTCAGATGAGTACATTCCGCATTTTTTTTAAAAATCTATGTAGCATAATTGTGTCGTAACTTAAGCATATTGCTAATTAAAAACTATATATCTTACACCTACCTCTTATTACAAAACGACAGTTGAGGTTCTTCGATTGGCTCTTGGTTAGATCTACCATTATTTTAGATCCAGAAGACAACATGCTATTGCTATGTAAGACACATTTCTCACTATGATATTATTTATTCTGTATTTATATCTATATAACGTTTTATGTATATATAAATAACTATGTAACGCAGATCACAAACGCAACTTGCACGGGGTGTACATAACCTAATACACAGAAAGTATTATGCGCACTAAACTATGACTCCATGACCGTAACCCTGTTTTGCTCTAGGCAGCCTGAGAACTTGACCTGATTTTAAAGTAGCTAATTTCTTTGCTTTCAAAGGTATTTCAAGTCTGAAAATAGTAAATAAGAGAGTGCATACATATGTTGCTTAACATATTAAACCAAAATACCAAAAGTTGGACTTAACCTAACCTGGCACTGAGGTACAGAGTTGTAGCCTTTTTATGACATCAAATCAATACAATGTTTGGCTTACAGGTCGGGTAGTTTTAAATGGCCTAACTATTATCTGCCCAGCGAGAGCATACAAACATATGAAGGTTGGAATTAAGGTCACGCTGCCTAGTTACACCCTATTTCACGAGTATCCATCACGGAACAATCATAGCCAGCTATCTAGTAATATTTCGAAATTCCCCACATCGGCATAGGACACATAATTCTGACGGATCCGTCAAGGTGAGGTAACCAGAGCTGTACTTTGTTTTGGTTTTTTGTACTCTACAAAATCATTTTGTAATTGCTAACAGCTCTTTTATTTAGAAAAGTTCATTTGCATGCAAGAAACAAAACGCTACAAATAAGTTTTACTAGATTTACACGCGATTCACTATTGCCAACGTCGCGGACTAACACAAAAATGTCACTTGCTGATCAGCTGTTCACCTCAGTAGAAGTCAAAGCGTGATGGATATTCGTGAAATAGAGTGTAGCTGACAAGCATGTCAAATACACCAATACTTGGTCAAATAAGCAATTTGAGTGTGATTTATAACTTTATGAAAACAGAAATCATTCTCAAAACCTGCAAGTTATCAGATAACCATTTACCTTTTACGGCTCTACGTTGTAGTTTAGTAACGAAAAAAAAATGTCTGCTTGAAATTCAAATTCTAACCTCAAATTGCTTATTTGACCAATCGTTGATGTATTTGACACGGTTACCAATTTTCTAGGCCGCCTGGCCTTAACAAAGTTGTAAACATTGTGCATATAGTTCGAGGAATGTAATTTGGAACATATTTAATGAAAAGATAATTACCGAATGCTCAAAACGTATTTTTCTATGCATCATACAAATATATTCATACAATTATTGCAAAATAATATTTTTGTTTAAGTAAGCTACTGAATTATCCTAAAAACATGAATATACTGGAAGCCTCAAAAGAGCAAGCTGTCTCAACTTCTCAGACGTTACCGATAGACCTATCTGCGGCATCTCTAACAGTTTCCCGTCTTGCATTCTGTCGCTGGGCAGATAATACATTGTACTACTACTGCGACTTACATTGATGTATGAGGTGACTTTTCTCTCTTGAGGTGGTTCTGGGGTAGTAATCGCGGTCGATGCAAGAGTATTACCAACGGGTGCCGGCGGACTAAGTACAGGCGCCGGTGGACTGACCACAGGCGTAGGTGGACTGACCAAAGGCGAAGGGCAATTAACCACAGGAGCAGGCGGACTCACCACAGGAGATGGAGGGGTGACCTCGCTTACCGGTGAAGTTATTACAGGTGCTGATGGGGTAACCACCGGCGTCGATGGAACCACTAGAGGAGTGAGAGGTACCACAGGTACTGATGAATTCACCACAGGAGCGGCCTGAGCCACTACAGGGACTGCAGGCTGAGGGTCTGTCACAGGTGGCATAAGGACAGGTTGTTGGCAAGGGGCAGCTTCTTCTACAGGCTCAGATTTATCGTGGTCTGGGAGTGGATGGTGGTAGTGATCACCTGCGATGCTTTCATCTCTGACGGAGGAGCTGCCTGCAACACTGCCGCCCTCTGTAACTGATTCGTCGTCGTGTCCAGTTGCAGAACGGTCATCTTCGCATGTAGATTCCACCTGTATCAAACAATTTCTGTTAGTTTATTATTTACTGTCTTTTGTGATACACTTTGTATCTACTGTCTATTCAAACCTCATTTACTCCGCGTCAAAACAAACATGAGATTCTATTCGCTTGTCTTTTTATTGTTTTCTACTTTCTACCTAGTTGCCAAACAGAGGCGTAAAGGGGAGTAGTAGTAATTTTTAAAACCATGAACAAAAGTCCTATTTCAAACCCCAAATTGCGCTCCGCTGATAGTCCGCTGAAATTATTCATACTCGTTGAAAAACGAAATTAATAATAAGAAATTAGACAGCAAGCAAGAAAGCAAGTTAAACTTCATCCACTTCCCGATGTACAATTGACCTGAAAATTTACATCCATATGTAAGTCTGATTACAATACAATATTATCGAGCCGGTGAGCTTATCTGATGATGGAGCAGAAAAGCAGCTATAGGAACCACATGAAAAAGTAACCCTAGGATAGTGCAAAATATCTACCTATTTTGGTAGGGATGACTTTTGAAAATAAAGATAGACAAAACATTTGTTGTCTCATTTTTAATTATGAGGCAATTCACGTGAAGCGGTCAACGAAAAAAAAGGTTATATAATTCGTTCATATTGGATATAGTCTTTTTTACGAGTATCCATTATGGTAGAATGATAGCTGATTATATAGTAATACTTCAAAATTCCCCATATCGGCAAAGGACACATAATTCTGACGGATCCGTTAATGCCAGGTAGACAGAACCATATTTTGTTTTGGTTTTTTGTATGCTACAGATTCATTTTGTGTTTGCTAAAAGCTCTTTCATTTAGAAAAGTTCATTTGCGTTTAAAAAGCAAAACGCTACAAACAAGTTTTACTAGATTTATACTCGATTCATTATTGCCAACGTTGCAGTCTAACACAAAAATTTCACTTGCTGATCAGCTGTTCACCTCAGTAGACGTCAAAGCGTGATGGATACTCGTGAAATAGGGTATATATTTGTACATCTAGTAGATGTGACAGAGAAAACACGATTTTTATTTCTTGTTATGCTTATTTGAGTGCTTCTAAAAACATATCCGTAATTGAAATTGGGATTTCTTCTGAATTTTTTTGTCGAATCGAAGAGAATAACACTGAGATATTAAATCTAGAGTTGCCAAAAAACATGAAACAGCTGTCCATACTTGGTCCTCTGTGCTCGGACGGACAAAAGCTATATTACTAATTAAATATAGTATTTTATACAGGGTTTTTCAAATTCGACTCTCAAAATTGGGATTTAAGAAACGGTTAGAGATATGATGTCGGTTAAATGAGAGCAAACTTGCGTCCTTAGGTAACTAAGGAAATCGAAAGTTCCGCAATTCCGAGTGTTTTTCAGAGATAGACGAAAGAAACTAAATCTTCCCAAAATCGATTTTCTTTTTTCCTAACTTTATTTGAAATGGAATTTCAAAATAACAAATACATTAACATTGCCATCTACTTGGCATTAGAATATCAATTTGACGTTTCGTCTCTTGTCCTTAATCATCAACTTCATTTTGTCTAACATTTCCATAGCTGGTTTATCCGATTAAATCACCAATGCTTCAGTCTTTGAAAAGCGTGTTTAAAGACCATTTACATTTGCCAAATTATCGAGTATAACAAGGGTTATTTTAGCAGAATGGAGGCGCTCTACATGACACTTCAGCCTTGGATTAGTAGTATTTGAATCAGAGACTCTGCGATGACTCAGTTACACAACAGTAGCTTTCAATGTGCTCTATACTACTTTTAAATAATATAAAAAAGTTTCAGCATTATGTTGTCTTTTTATTCAATGAATTAAGACCAACTACTTTTTTGGACATTTGAAGTTTTAGACCAACCCATCTCATAATCTGCATATTGTCGATTCATTAAAATCTAAAATAGCCTGCCTGCCTATGCCTGGGTTATAAAAAATGATGCAATGCTTGTCTATTTGATAATTTCAAAGCCTGCTTGGATTTTTTTTTAAATAACTAAGGTTCGGCAACGTTTTTGCAATCAGAATGAAAAACTCAATTCACCTGTGCAAACCAATATGGCGTCTACGAGAAAAAAAAAAGTTGATCGATGAGAATAAAAGGCGAAACGCCATATTCTAATTCTAATTATGTCATCTTGCAGGGGAGAAAATGTGGAAATGTTAACGTACGTTTCATATTAAAATCTCATCTCAAGTAAAGCCAGGAAAAAATAAAAAACGATTTTGTGAAAATTCGATTTCTTTTGTCTATCTCCGAAAATACTTGGGAATGTGAAACTTTCTATGCGTCATCTCTTTCGATACCTAAATGCGCAACTTTACCCTCATTTAATTAACTTCAGTATCTCTTACCGTTTCCGAGATTCCAATGGTGACAGTCGAATTTAATACACCTGGTGCAGAAAGTTGTCTGTGCCTTTTGATGAAAAAATCAAATTTGAAATTAGAGAAAGTATTAGTATTAGGTACAATACTCGAAGTATACATATCTAACCAAAATTTAAGTAACTTCTATCACTTTTATTTTCAAATCAAAATACATTAGACGTTTTAAAATAGGTCGCGCGATAAGGAGATACGTATTTTTATGTACATACATGTCTCACTAGGTATGACGTCTGGGACATGTTTGGATCGAAGTTTTGCTATAAAAAAAAACACGAAAAGGGCATTTCTTGTCAATTAAAGAATTTAATGGTGCTTTATTTGACTTTTACTAATTTTCCAGACTGATAAAATCGAGCGAGCAGCAAATTTTCGGACGACCCCCCGGGTGGCGAAAACCCAGCCTAATTATTATTTGCAGAGAAATACAGGTGTCGGACCAAGATACAACCACAGGCCAATTTTAAGAATTTACTTTGTTTTTTTTGTCTCACTATATACAGAGAAATCCATTATACCATCGACGTCGTAATGTGTACGAGAAGAGAGGGAAGTGTGCCGTACGTATGTTAGAAGCAGATAGATGCACCTCGTTGCTTAGCAACTCGAGTGACGGACGCAGCTGAAGTTTGCCGCACATATGTAGTGACGCTTCTCCCTTCTCTCTCGGACGCATTACTTCAGTGATACAGTAAACTCTCAAGTATCCGGCTCGCCGCTATCCGGACTTCGGCTTATCCGGATCGCCTAGGACCTGGCGCCGCTAAACATAATTTTTACGAGTTAGAACGAGTTTACGTGTTGTAGTATGTACATACATAATTATGTACATATGCGTATTTCATTTAGTGCATAGATACGTTACAAATAAGCGAGTTGTTTCGTTTGCGAATTGAATAAGTTATTTATGTCATGATGAGCAATAAGCGAAAGAAAGTGGACAATTGAGCAAAAGCTTGAACCGATAAGTGGAGGGACTTGTCAGCGAAGAAGAGAACACAGTGGCAAATTATGCATTTTCTCATACCTTAATAGGTACAAATGTAAGTTCTGAGTTGAAATACATTTGCTTAATAAAGTTGCGTATGTTTGGACATTAGTTCGGCTTATCCGGCTTTTTCGTTATCCGGACTAGCTGCCCGCCACCTTAGGCCGGATGGTTGAGAGTCTACTGTATTTGGATTTCTCTGTTTAAATCACAAATTCATGGTCTGTCTTGCCGATAAGTCAGTCTGTTCAGGAACAATGAGTCTAATATAAAAGTAATGATTTGACCTTAGTGAGATCTTCATTGTTGAATAGTAAGGTCGCGATGAAAATAGTTCACAGACAATGGAACTAGGTTCAGAAGTTGTGGGGTGATAATCAAAATATGCTTAATTCACGATCGCTAAAAAACATTAAGATGCGCTTCACGGTAAATTGAATCATATAATAATAACTGGTAAAACATCTTACCTTAGGTAACTTCAGGCTGGCGTTTGAAGAAGCCTTTGAAGAACTGTCTTTCGTTTTCTTTTTCTTCCCTTTTTTCTTGACTGAAAGATAAACAGTTTCAGGCATAATGTAACTCATATTCAAGGAAGCAAGTAAATCAAACATGTATAAAAAGAAGTATAATGTCATAGTTCAGCTAAAGCATTAATAATACGCAAAAATAAGAATAAATGCTGTGGTACATAGTTGTGTTTTTGAACCAAAGGCAACTCACCTTTCGGCGATTTTGTAGATTGCGGTGCCTGCTTAGAGACCAAGGGAGGAGGTCCCTCCAATTTGTGTCCTACACTCTGACACCATCCAACAGGATAAATGTCGGAGCTTTCACAGTCCAACCATTGGTCATATTCGTCTTCCCATCCGTCAAAATGAACTTTCAGTAATCGACCTAGAAAGAAATGTTTATGAATATAATTAATATACAACATATCAAAAGTATGATGAAATTATTTTTAATAATAAAGGTTAACACAATTATCATGTATCTGTCTATAATATCGAATAAGTCGTTTTCTCTGAATATGACGTTTTTGTATACAGGTTGGCCAAGATAAGGATCATTTGCATGGAGATTTCAATACCTGTGGGAAATACAGCTTAGGCCAAATCAGGAAAAAGCTGCGTTCTTTGCGGCGTATTCACATGCTGTTGTGAAACTTGCAAAAATTTAATAACTTTTCATGGTGGAGTTTTTGAATTTTGTGCACGGCATTTCCTTTTTAAGAAAATCATCAACTTAATTTTTTATATGATCCGAAAAAAGTACACGAATTCAACGACGTATCACATGTTACGTTTGTTTTCTTAGTTATTAAGAAAAACGTGTTTTCTTTTTTATTTTATTTTGGTAGGCGTTGCAAACAAATGCTTATGCTAAGATTATTGGTTTGCTCGTACAACCTGTTTGCTCACAATCAACAAAATGATAGCCGGCGATAAGTAATGACTTAGTTTAGTCAGTTTGCTGTCACTGACACATCACTGACTGTATAGATTGCGGACATGAGAACGTAACAAGTTGGCTGAGGGAGCTTGGACCGATTATCGAGAACTAATTGTCAGAGGTCGAAATCAAGTACAGTCATTATTCTCAATTTTGGAAAAGTTCGGGTATTCCCATTTCCTGTGAACCAGAATGATCTAGGATTTATCGCCCAATTGCCCGGCAGTGCCTTAATTTTTCTCTAGAGGGGATAACACTTTCTAGAAGAAATAACAGCACCCAAAAATGTCAAGTAGATTTACTCAGTAATTTCCATTCAATTCTCATTTAAAAAGTATGAACATGAATATCAACAAAACATACTTTAAACAGATCTTCACCAAATTTTAATCAACTCCAAATTAAAACGTTGAATAGCTGCAAAAACATACAATCGGTTGATAATTTCAAATATTTAGGAGTATTCATAGATAACTATCTAAGATAGAATATAATAATAATAACAATAAATCTTTATTTCAAAATACCAGTGCACGATTACAATGTATTACACACTGTTAGGTGAAATATACGTCACAGTGTCATCGAGGCAGAAAAACCAAAGAGCAAAACATATAATAGAGATTTTACATTTCAAAATATTCTTGAAGGTCATATGGTTCTAAGTGCATTAACAATAATTGACAAATCCTCTTTTTATATTCTTTTATATCTGACAACCTTTTAATTTCTTGTGGCAACTTGGACATTTTTTCGGTAACCGTGAGATGATGGACTGGATACAGAAGATTTATATTTCTATTTCTTGTGTTATAGTCACTTCGTGGGTTACCGATAAAATTGTATTACTCTTAAATTTTCCTCTGCAAGTCTGCCTAGAGGAAATTTTTAGGATGCACCTCAGCACTCGCTTCTGCACAAGATCCTATTGGTATGATTACTATGTCCGAAAAAAAAAAATATTCCAAAACGTACAATGGACTCAGAATTCGCGTAATATACCATTTTTAGAGTCTTGAGGTCTAGGTACTTCCTTAGTACTGTAATACTATAACATGCATTGTTTAAGCTTTTTTTTAGATGTTCTATATGCCCAGGAAAGTGCTTGGTCAATATGAACTCCCAAGAATTTTCCACAGTCTGTCAGAGGGACTTCTATTCTTTCTGCTAATGTGATGTTTGTTACTTCGATTTTTTTTCTTAACTCAAAAACAATCGCATTTGTTTTTGAGGTATTCAGAGATAATCCATTACGGGTAAACCACAAAAACGCTTTCTCGCAGAGGCTCAAAGTACTTTCAGCTAAATGGTTGAAATCTTGGCCAGAGACTAGTGCACTAGTGTCATCAGCGTATTGGATCGTGCATATATTATTTGGGCTCGTAATACTAGCACACTAGCACAAAATCAAAAAGAGGAGAGGTCCTAAGACGCTACCTTGTGGAATATCTCTTTCTACCGTTAACTGTGATTAAACGGCTGATATTTCATTCTTTGTAATGAAAACTCTTTGCTTACGATCAGATAAGACTTAATCCAGTTGCAAACACTTCCCCTTATCCCGTATGCCTCGAGGTTATTCAATAGTATAGAATGATCCACCCAATCATAAGCTTTGGAGAGATCAAAAAACAGACCCCGTGATATCATATCATTTTCAAGGCATTCTATGATGTTGAGGCCGAAAGAATAGATCGCCGTGTTGATGGATTTCCCTTTTACAAACCCAGTTGTTACATATCATATGATTCATAATACTTGAATACATCACTATCTCAAAAAGCTTTGCAAAACAAGAAACAACAATTTACAATTTAGCAAGTCACTAGGATCTCCTTTTTTATATATAGGTATAAATATAGGTAATTTAAGTTTTTCAGGGAAAATACCGTACTTAAGTGAGTTGTTTATTATGTGAACCAAAGGTTCCAGAATTACTACTAAGCAATATTTTAAAACACTAACTGGAATGTTGAAAATTAAGAAACCTTTAATCCATTCTATTTTCTATGCTCAAAATTTTATAATGTTATTCCTGCAAACTTTACATATAAAATGTAAAAAACGTTTAAAAATTTAATTAAAGTTATGGATCCTAAATCAACCAAGGCTACAAATCCATAAGTTTGTAGACATCAAAAACCTATACGTTATTTGACAATAAAATGATGCAAATTTATACATTTGACTAATATACTAGGAAATTGTATTAATATAATTCAAGTTCGGTTAAAACCCAAGCACAAGTGTACACTTTTTTGTATATTATGCTTATTGGACACTGCCGTTATTATTTATACGAAAGCTTTGTAATTGGACCAATAAACATTATTTATTATTATTATTATTATCTGGAAGAAAGTAGTCAAAATATTACAAGGATTTAATAACGTTTTGAATAACAAAGGGTGAATATACACTAAAAAGCTAAAACGGCTGGGCATAACTACAATTATCAAGATCTGCTCACATTAAAAAAGGGTTGAGAAAAACATGTTTAAAAAAAAAAACAAAAATCATGTTTTTTTTGTTTAAAACATTCAAATTTAGCTGAACAAAAACATGTTTAAAACACTGTTAATACATTTTTGAAACATTAAAGAAAAAACTATTGCCTATATAATCTAGCAGCGTTAATGAAGTTCCTTAAAAGTGTTATTACTATTTTTGATCTAGCTCAATCAGAGCACATCTCTAATTTAAAAGCGGACGTCGGGAAACTACCGTGCGGACGTCGGGAAAGTACCGTTTGCCTTTGGGTAATTTTTCGCGTTGCGATCTCCTGCAGTCAAATGTGCGAAGTCGTAGCGTGGTGGTGTGTTTTATTTTTTGTGCATTACAGATCGGCAAAAAAAAGAAAGGCAATGACAGGTAGGAGAAAGGATCCCGAGAGGAACTATTTTAAGGAGACTGATGCCAAAGCTGACTCGAAAATAAGTAAGCAAAATATTTAACCTGCAATATGGACATAGTGCTACTGGTGGCTAGAATGCGCAAGCATATTAAAAATTGTAAACAACTTAAACAAAGAAGTTTGTTAGAAAAACAAAATATTCATATATCAGATAGTTCTGATACCGACAATGATGATGTTTCTACCGAACCTATTTCCTCAAAGTTAAGTAGCTTGGAGAATTGTGAAAAGGTAAGAAATACCTAATTGCTGTTAAATTTTGTTTAAATATGTTAAATATATAAGAATGAAGGATAAAACAGGTCCGTATTAAGGCTCGGTATATACTTAAATATGTTAAATATATAAGAATTAAGGATAAAACAGGTCCGTATTAAGGCTCCGTATATACTTCTTGTTTGGTACAAGCAAATTTCTGTTACTTAATCGCATTGAATTTTTAGATATTATTACATAGGTATACTTTATTTTTCAGATGGCTCGTCACAGACCTACTACACTAACAGCAATGTTATTAGTGCTTCCAGTTCATCGTCGTCCAGTTTTTCGCTAGTGACGAGAAGACAAGGAGATAGAGACGATGTCCAACTAAAATCGCGACTGGAATCATTCGTTGTCAAAACAACATGTAGCGAGAAGAAAAAAACTGATATTCAAGTAGCACGTTTTGTTTATGCCACAAACTGTGCTTTCAGAGCAGTGGAATACCCCGAGTTTAGCGGCTAATGGAAATGTTGCGTCCATGATATCAGCCACCTAACCGTCAGCAAATAGGAAACGAACTTCTTAGTAACGTATACACAACTTTACAAGTAGAAATAAAAAAGGAATTAGGTGATAATTCAGTATGCATGTCTTTTGATGGTTGGAACAATATTAGAAATGATTCAATAATGTGTGTGTCCGTAAATGATATTCAAGAATGTAAAGTATATCTAATTGACACTCTTGACACTGAAGACAAAAGTCATACCTACTTCTGAATAGTTGTTAAATTTATTAGTGGGGTCTATAAGGCGTTATTACACAGATTATAGTTGTACTGTCAGAAGTGTTGTGACAGACAATACTGCAAAGATGACTAAGATGCGTGCAGAACTAGCAAAATGCGATGGAGCAGGTCTAGCTGATATACATACTTATGGGAGTTCTTCACAAATTTTAAATTTATTTGCACAAGATATTCAGGTGCCCACTTTGAAAGAACACATAAAGAAAATAATAAAGTACCTTAGAAATGTACATTTTGCAGCAGGTAAATATAAAATATCTGGCGGAAAAGCTCTCGTGATGCCACAAGATGTTAGATGGAACACTTTAGCTAAATATTGAATCTTATCTAGAGAACTAGCACATATTATGAAAAATTTGTTTAGAAAACCGAACTGCTTTTGATATTCATATCTCGCAAAAAATTAATGATTTAAATTCAAAAATAAATGCCCAGGACTTTTTAGTAAAGTTAAAACAAATAGCAATTACCCTAGATAAGATAACGAGATGTCTGTACAATTAGCGAATGCACAGAAAT